GGGTAAACTGCATTGTGTACGCTGATGACATGTCAAATCAGTGTAATGTGATAATCAAGATATACGAGGAGGCTCGAGAGGTACAAGTGAAAGGAGGATATGACCGAATGACTGAGAATGAAGACTACGCACAGATGATCACGACATTACTACCTAGTCGCGTAAAGATATAATTATTAATCTACTACCTCACAAGAGCTACACGAGAAGAGCTAGTTATATACACTATTTTTCTTTTTGTTCTAGAAAAAAAAATACTACGCCAACCATCAACCAAGAAATTAGTAACGAGTCTTCGTAACTAAGACCTCAAAAAGAAAAGAAAAAACTCCACTCTACGTCTTAGGAGTCGAAAGGGAAATCAGTGTTTTAATGCTAAAATATTCTGTAGAGGCCGGATATTCTATTAAAGTGTGTTGCAAAAAAAAAGGGGGTGGGAGAGGAGAGAGATATTAGGAATACAAGAGCTAATAAGTAACAGTAACTATTTATTAGGAAAATATTGATCGGAATATTTCGCACATAATAGTTCTACGAGAGAAAATCTTAAAAGATCAACAACGGCTCACTTAACAAACAAATGCACAAGCAACCTTCGACTTGGGATTCTTGATATTTACGCTCTACTAAAAATGACACGATTCTATAAAATCCGGGTATCATCCCTGTACAGAATTGCCCTAACTCGCTTTTTGTCTTCCTTATTTCACGACATAATTACAATTTTCCAAACCCCCAACTAAAAATCTATGTATGCATCATGGCACCCACTTTCTCAAAGTGTGACTTTTCCTTCTATGAAGGAGGCAATTGACCACCTTCCTTGGTCTCACCAACTGGAAGAGCGGGCTTCTTGCCACCAGCAGAGTTGAGGTAGCTGAGGTAGCAATTCCATCCTATTAGAAACCCCTTGTGTTAGCCTCGAGTCTATCCGCTAGGAAAAAGAGTGAAAAGGGGGTATGTGTGACTTACCAAGCGAGATAATGTTGACGACCAAGACCCTCATCTCAGCAGGGACATACTTGAAGTTGACAAACTGGACCCAGGGCCAGATCATCAAGTTCTTTTGGTATCCAGGCACGAAGGCGTCCTTGAGACGCTGCGTGGGTGAGTTGCCCTCCATGTAGGCCATGCTGGACAAGAAGACCGTCATGTTGACGGGTGCAAAGAGGAACTGATCGCAGGCGACGCGCGCAATAATGGTACCGTTCTTGGATGGCAGGTTTACACGGCTCACAAGGAAACCGAACCATTTTGTGGCTGCGGGGCCGAAGATGCCTGCGAAAAGATTATTAGCAAACCGATAGATGGAGCTTGTGTTGGAAGAAGAAACATCGTGTCATCGAACAAGACAGAGTGAGTGACATACATCCTCCATAGGCGGCCATACGACCCGTCCGCGCCAGGTCGTGTTTGTCAAGACCTCTCCTTTCTACACCCTGCTGTGCCATTGTGTCGCCCGTTGCAAAGAGCACCTATTGTATGTCAGCATTGTTCAATGCCTTCATCTATCCCCCTCAATCCAATCCTAAGCCTGGTTCCTGAGAACAGGGCTTTTTGACACACGTTCTAGCCTTATCGTTTGTGTGTTGTGCGTGGGTGCAAAAGGACATGGATTGAGGATCGAGACGTCAAGGGATAAGAGAATGCGTACCGCAGTAGTGATACTTTGCGTCAGGAGCGGTGATGTCCTCAGCTTCGATTGGTACCTGGCATCGCGATCAGCATCGACTTCCTTGACTGTTGACCGATTATTTGAGTGCGACATACCAACGGAACGCCATTTTGAGAAAGGTGTGCAATGTATTTGCTTAGAAGAGGAGATGCAAAGAATATATAAAGCGGTCAAGGGCGACACACCGCAAGAGTTGGAAGAGTGGAGATGGCTGTGTTGTGTGGAAAAAGAAAGTCGGACAATTGAGAAAGATAGTTTGGTCAGGTTGCGGGACCGATGATGTCGGTAGTGCAGCAGGGTCCGCGCCGCACATGGCGGTCGGGGAACTTAGCTTGACCCCTGATTTCCACCCCCTTCTCCAGAGCGAACAATTCTTTACGCAACCGACTACAAAAAGGCCCTACTTTGTCACGGTCTAGGCTTCAAGCCACAGGGTAAGGTTTGGAAAAATATCATAACTCAATTCAGTTTCGCGACTCGTCTGTTCATGGTGGGGTATAGTATGAGTAGACAACTAGTTACAAAATGCGAGACCTATCTTGTACAACGGTTCTTGCATGTGGGAAAAAGAGAATAAGAAGAAGGAAAAAAACAAAACAAAAGTGGCCCGGACATAGTATTACACGTGGTGCTTGGATACGACATCAGATCCCATCCAGGTCCATCTGTGTCTCGATCTCACCGCCTATCACCCAAAGCAGATTCCAAGATGAAATAACGCCAGGCCAGCTGATCTCGTCTGGGTATGATCAGAGCTGTGCTCACGAAACGCGGGTATCCAAGAATTCATGTCGTAATTTAGTAAATTTTTTTCGCGTAAATTGGGTATGTAGAAAAGGCGACTTAATCAATCTCCATTCGTTGCGACGGGACTGGTCCACTCAGCGATGGCATTTCCGTGCTGTATGGCTTGTCGTTTTGCACAACCTTGTCATTGATGTGAGGCTTGAGGCCCTTGTTGAAGTTGTGCGTGCACAGACATGCCGTAACAATGGTGCATATGAGTAGCAGAATGGTGAGGATGGCAAACGCAGTTAGAGACTTGCGGGCTGGCTTGTAGTCCTCCTGGCGGCCAGCATCGGCAACCCACATTCGAATGAGCTTGAATAGGAAGTAACCCATGGAAATAAAATAGACAATGATGATGCTGATCATGCCGGCAAAAGACTCGCGACGGACCCACCAACCAGCGAGGAACAAAAGGAAGAAAGTGATGACGAGGGCGGCGGCGGTAAGGGCTTGTTCCACCGTCTTTGTGTTCTCAACCACGACGAGAAACTGTACGGTGAAGGCCAGGAAAAAGAAGAAGTCAAACTTCAAAAGAGCAATATAAATCTGCAAGGGTCAGTAGGGCGCTCGGACAGAGTTCGTCCGTCGGGGAATTAAATACCTGGTAAGTCAGATAGCGCTTTTTCAGGCGCGTATCCGCGCTGATGCGCTTGTAGATTGTCCAGGCAAACTCGTCATACAGCTTCCAGGCTTCAAAGGCAAAGACGACGGTAGCGAGAGCCATGAGGCAGGGAAGAGCAATCAGCATGGGCTTGACGTCTGCCCAGAAGAAGGCGGGAATGAAGGCGCTGTCGTTGAGGTCGTCGGCTGCATCCTTGATCTGGTCGAACTGGATACCGGCGTAGACGAGGATACCAATGTTGTAGAGAACGAGGCCGATGACTTGGATGGTATTCTTGAGGCGCAAGGCGTCCCATGTGAGGAAGAGTTGGTAGATGTAACCAAACATGAAGACGGCAAGGAACGTGGGGATGGTGCGCGTTTCGTTTGCACCAGCGCCTTCGGCGGCGAAGTGGATCTCGTTTTGGAATTTGCCAAAGACATAGCTGAGGTTGTGTTAGTTGAGTGCGGTTGAGGATAGGGTAAGGGGGCAAAGGGCGCACGATTCTAGGGCAAGGGCGATGGAGACCTGGGCAATGGCCGTGAGCATGAAGGCCCAGGTCCAGCGCGTATTGGGAATGTACATTCTGGGTGGACGTCGAACGGGCGGCGGTAGTGTCGTGGGGAAGCCCTCACGATGGTGGTAGCCTCCAGGCTGGGTATCCAGGTTGGGCGGTTGTTGATAAGGTTGTTGGTATGTGGTGTTAGCGTAGGGTGGGTAGTTGCGGCTGAGAGGCTGGCCTCCTAGGAGGGATGTGCGGGCTTCGTGGTGAGTAATTTTGGCCGTGGTATCAGCCGCAGGCGGCGGCTGAAAGCGTGTGGATATAGGCGTGTTTGGCGGGGAGAGACTTGCTTTTCGGGCACAGACGAACTGTGGCAGGTGAGGATAGAGGCGGCAGGCGGTTTGTAGGGCTGCCGGGGACAGGTGAGACGCTGTGTGCGCACTGAAAGACGAGGTGAAACCAGACGAGTCGCTTTAGTTTGGGGGCGTCTGGGTGTGGACGGGGCGGGCGCGCGTCGCTGAAACTAGGCAGGGCTTGGCTGTGCGGAGAGGCCGAAGACGACGAGTAAGCAAGTAGGCGTGACAGGTGGGCGGCAGCAGGAGAGGGAAAGCAAGCGACGGGCTGGGGTGGGCTGCGAGGGCGTGGTGAGGTGGCAGAGACGAAGAGCGAACGGCGGGAACAAAAAGGATGGAACAGGACGGAGATGATGGAGATGGGCTAGGCAATGGAGATGATGGGGTGGTGCAGCAGAGCGAAAGTAGCGCTTGGTAGGCCGGCCAGGCGTATGTGCAGGTAGATGTGGAGACGACTGGGAAGGCTGACGGGGTCTGGTCGCCGTGGGAGCCGCTAGCCGGGAGCGGGTTGTTGGCGACGGTGCAGGTGCAGCGCTGCTAGGACCTGGCGAGGGGCTTGGGGCTGGGCGTGCGCATTTGACTTTGGAGTCTCTAATATAACACACGGTCTGGCGGAGATATTGGACATGAGGGGGCAAAGGAGAGAGTCGGCACCGTGGGCGGACGAAGCTTTTTCATTTTGACCAGCGGCCCTTTTGGCTCACCAGGCACACGGCACAGGCGCTGCACAAGGCACGTGTTGCCCACTCGGACTGCGCCTCCCGCTCGCTGCACCGCCCGCTGCTTGGCACAGCTCCAGCCACACCGCCCATTGGCCAGCCGCAGACAAGAATAGCCTGCAATCTGCCGTCATTCTGCTCCCCCCAGCCCCAGAGCCCCAACATGAACAGACAAGATAGGCGTTGAGCCCGGCGCTGGCCAATTGCCCTAGAAGCGTTTGCATCATCAACGACGCGCACTGCCCAGGGTCTGCGTCTCGGCATCGCCGACAAACCCCCGCGACAACAGCCGTGTCGTCGCGTTCAGAGAGCACTCCACTGTCGCTATACAGCATTCCGAAGCCACCTCGCCCTGCCCGGCATGCCCTCCGGTGAGTCTATACGCTGCACGCCCACCGCAACACTCGACCCGCTCACCCTCCCACAGCCGAGTCCATCCTCCAGCAGGCAGCCGAACATGGCTCGCTCGACTCGTAAGTCCCCCTCCCCAGCGTTACAGGCGCATTGGCCCAGCTAACGCGTGCCCGACTCCAGAGCAGAGTGGCCTGCCACGCTGCAGTATATACTCCAGCGCCTAGACGAGGTACCACCACCACCGCTACCACTGCCACTGCCACTGCCACTGCCACAAAGGCACTCGCCGCTAACCCGCTCCCTAGATTGTCGCAGAATTCCCCAAGCCACCTACGGATGTCACCCCAAACCTGCCCGCATCTGCAATCACAGACCTGCCCTCGCGCCCAGGCACCTCCAACGCTCTTTCCAGTCAAGACTCGCATGCCACCGACAAAGAAAATGCCCCACCGGCGACTCCTCCCCGCCCGCCCGTGCCCTCCTTCTCCGCAGCAACCGAGCCTCAAGGTATCCCAGCAGACATCAACACCTTCTACTCGGCAATACGTACCACCCTCGCCAAGAACTTTCCAAAGCACCCCCCGCACACCATCCAGCGCCTAGCCGAACTCATACTTGAGCCCAAGAAGCGCTACCGATTCCTCCCACCTTACCTACGCGCTCTCGACCGTGTCGTCTCCGTGTCCTCGCCCCTCACCGTCTTCCCACTCCCACAAGCTGTTCTGCCTACTGCGAGCGGCCTGCTCAATGGAGCCACATCCAGCACCACGCCCCAACCAGCGCCCCTCGGTTCTGACGAATCGCTAGGCGGCGCCTTGCTAACTCCCATTCCTTGGTTGCAAAACCGAGGGCAGAACGAGTTGATCTCAGAGAGCACAGAGATGGTCGACGGACCCAATGGTGCAGGCCGGATAGAGACCGTGACTGTAGGCATGCTGGCTAACACTGCACAACCAGAGAATCCTACAAACGTAGCCCAGATTGCCTCGTCACACCCCGATGGTGAGACCCTGCCGTCTACTGGCCCAGTCACCCAGGGCGAACTGCTACGTCAGGAACAAGAGGCTGGAATCGTGCTCAACAACCCCCACAGCATAGCCACCAACTCGGCAAAGACTACCTTTGGCGACGTTCAAGGTGGGCCTTCCATCATGGAGACAGTTGAGGGTGAGGAGGAAGTTCCGCATGCCCGTGGTCCAGAGATTATCGGAATGGAAGACACAGGGCCCCAGCAAGATGGCAAGCTCAATATTGAGGGTGCTGTTGGGAGGCCAAGTCTTGATCGCAAAACCCCAGAGCCCTCTTCATCCAAGGACAAAGACTCAAGCCAAGGAGGAGCAGAGAATGATGATGCCAAGGGATGTAGTGAAGAGTCCAAAGAGGGCACTGTAGTGGGGGAAAAAGAAACAGAGAAACGCGATGTAGAGATGAAGTCGGATGATTAGTCGTCACCGGCCGCTCCCCCTGAGCAAGGACAGATTCTTACAGCCGAAGAAACAAGAGAGCTCATGGCTCTATTGCAGGCTTACAATCGTTCTTGAAGCACAGCATTGGTTGGGATGCATTACCATGTTAACGTGGATATGTGATTCCAGTTTCCTTTTTCGGGCTGGACTTTCCAAGCGCAGTACCGTATCCTTATTTAGCATTGACACGTAGTATGCAGACTAGTACATACGTAGCTACCGAAACATGAGATACTACAAAGAGCTGCTATAAATATCAGCAGGCTCCAAACTGTGCCAAACTCGACTTGTTTTGATTCTGTGCAATACACGTAGTACTACATACATTCAACTACCGCATCGAGTACAAAATTCCGACGTGTTGCCATTGTATTACGTCGTTTTTGTGAAGTTTGGTTCATTTCCGAGTCAGGGACCATGCGCATAATGACGAGGGTCAACCGGCTTTGATAGGGCCGATTGCCACGCTCATACACGAAGTGGACCCGTTGTTTTGTTTTTAGAGCATGAAGAATGTTTTGTCCTGGGCGGGAATCAAATAAATGAGGTCATTCAAGGATTCGACCGTTGGAAACAAAATTGTGCATTCATGTTTTGATTACAGCGTTTTTTTATGCAACCGGGGGCATGTAACATGTAGTCCTAATGTTTAAAAAAAAACAAAAGGCTTATTTTTGCGACGTTGGCAGAGTCGGTTGCTCCTTCTTCATCTGCACCTTGCCGTAACCGTACACAAGGCCACTAAAGAAGCCCAGCAAGATCGCCGTCACGCTACCAAATGTCACCGGAGCGCCGAAGAAGACAATGCCACTAATCGCAAGCGGTAGCTTGTTCAGGTAGCCTACAAACGAATACGTCGTCGATGACGTTTTGCGGATGCACCATGCAGACGAGTAGGAGATGAAGATTGCGCCTAGGCCAGAGTAAATCATGCCGACGATGAGGTTCGTGCGCGTTTCCACGGGGAAGTTGCGCGAGAGATTGGCTGAAGAGTAGTCTTCGGTAAGGAAAGAGCAGGCGAGGAGAATGGGCAGGGAGAGCAGGTTGTTGTAGTACATTGCTGTTGGAAGAGCGTTTGATTAGATTGGATCGTTTCCCAAAAACAAAACAAAAACAAGCAAAAAAAATGACTAAGTGCAAGGAATAGGGACGTATAGGGTTGAGAGACTTACTATCCCAGTCTTTGAACTGTAGCGAGGTAATGTACTTGCGCGTGCCCAGGACATAAGAGGCACTGCAGATGATGTTGAGAGCCATCCAGATGTAACCTGCGTTTAGGGTTGACATGGCGTCATCTGCCGTCTGCGTCTTGTCTCCAGCGCCGCCGTGAAGGACGACTTGGATATCGGCCCAAGCGGCAATGATGGAGCTGAGTACCATGAGGCCAAAGGACAGAAGGAGCAAGGGAGTTACTTTGCCGCCGAACCACAAGACTTCGCCATAGGCAATGACGACAATGGTTAGATTCTTGAAGATTGTGTAGACGGGGACGGAAAGAAATTGGAGGGCCTTGGTGCTGGTGTAGATCATGCCGACGAAGAACAAGGACACGGGGAGCCCTGGCGCGGTGTTAGTAGAGGACAAGTGATTGTAGACTCGACGTTAACATGTTTGCAGATACATACATTTCTTGGCCTTGCTGCTTTCCACAGCAACAAGGTTGGGAATCATGCCCATCTGCTTCAGAACGAGGATTGCAGCCGTGCAAATGACAGCCTAATCACATGGCTGTCAGCAATCGTGCATCTTTACTTTTTGGAGTAGCATCAAGAACTTGGTCGCCATGAGACCGGAGACTACACACCTGGATGGCTAGATAGAGAAAGTTGAGGTTCCACGACGAGCCGGAGACGACATACTTGTTCACGACTGTCATGCTGATTGAGGAAAAGCAGTAGGCCAGCACGGCAGCTGCGGAATGATTTTCAAGCTGCGAGATGAGACCGCCTGTGTTTTCTTCCGCGGCAGGTGCTGCAGGCTTCTGTAGGAAGGCTTCCCTTTCACTCGTGTCCTGGTCTACGTCGTTCATCTCAATATCATCATCATCGTACTTTTTGCTCGCCATTGTAGCTAGTTTGTCGCAAACAGCGCTTCCCGATTCAAAGCAAAAGGCTCCTGTTAGAAGAGAAGAGAAGAGAAAAGAAAAGAAGCGAGTGTAAAGCGCAGAACGCGTTGATCGCAAGTTTGTCGAAGAAAGAATGTAGTACTTTGAAATTATACCAGCCCCTTTTATCCTGGTAAGATGCTTACCCAAACAGGTCTAGCATCTTGTATACGATGTAAGCAGTATGGCTGCGGTTGAACACGAGATAATTTTAATTTTTAGCATCCGCTAACAAAGAGAATGCAAGGCGCAGGCTGGTATTCTAGTCTAAGAGCGATATATCTAACCAGGGATACAGTGTGTAAGCATTTGGTTAGCCCCCAAAAACCGTTGCCACGGTTTTTTAAGCTCATAACTAGTAGATCGGTAGTACCGAGTCGCCAAAAAAAGATTGCTCGTGCTTTTTTACCCAAATCATGTCGGCTCCCCAACAAAAAATGTCAGAGGCCAAATATGGAATTTTCTTTTTGTACGATAGATGCAGATTGCCATTTATCTCGGGGTGTAGATAAGGCTCGTAGAGATGTTTGTCGACTCTAGTCTTGCAAGATAATGCGAGGTGCCATCCTGTGCCAAGCACGACTGCGATGCCCCTGAACAACAGCTCTTGTAAAACAACACAAGTGTCTGGTGACGGTTTATTGTACATTCCGAGGAATCGCGAATGTGACATACGCTACTACTGTTGCAAAGGAAAAGCAGATGTAAAGCAGATCTGCGCTGCACCTACCGTCAATGTTGAGGCAGGAAGCTTGGGCCGGGACCTCTCAACTTCCCGGACTCGTTGATAGCAACACAAACAACAGACATTACCAGCCACCCAACACCGCGTAATTGTCCTCCGCACATCCATTAGACCATTTCTTATACTCTACGTACGCTTTATTTCAGACTGCAGTCGCTATTGATTGTCATATCGCTACAATGGACGCCAAGGAACCACTACTCCCATCGGATCCTCCACCCTCGTACGAAGATGCACGCAAATCGCCTCTTTCCCACAACCGATCAGCCTCGGGTGTAGCGCCAGGCAAAAGACCGCCTCCCGGCCCTCCGCCGCCGCTCAGCTTACCCGCGCTGAACCAACTGAGGGGGTCCAGGGTCGTCCTTGCAAGCAAATCACCAAGAAGGAGACAGCTGCTTGCGCAGGTATGTACCCAGGCGCCCGCCACCTCGCACGCATGCAACGAATGTGCTGACATGAAAGTAGCTTGGCCTGACCAAGGTCGATGTATGTCCTTCGCAGTTTGCCGAGAACCTCGACCATTCCATGGGCGCGCTGAACTATGTGCTTGAAACCGCCTCCGCCAAAGCGCTCGACGTCTACAAAGCCGAACTCAACAACGAAGAACGCGGCGAGCCGGCAATTGTCATTTCGGCAGATACCATCATAGTCTCGCATGACGGACGGATACTGGAGAAGCCACGGAGCGAGGCACATCACATAGGCATGCTGAAGATGCTGAGAGATCAGGGCGAGCACAAGGTCATGACGGCCGTGGTGGTAATGCGGCCGCTGGAGTCGTGCGTAGTCCCGGGCTATGCTATGAAGACGCACATTGAGGAAACGACCGTCAGATTCGATCCTAACGGTAAGCCACCCTCTCTTGAGAGATTCATAAGCGGTATGGCTGACAATTGATAGTGACGGATGAGCTCATTCTTGCATATGTAAGAACACGCGACGGAAACGACAAGGCAGGCGGATATGGCATCCAGACGGCTGGTTCGGTGCTTATCGAACGCATAGAGGGTTCCTACGACAATGTGGTGGGACTGCCACTGAGGGCTACTCTCAGGCTTATCGAGAATATCATGCAGCCTGAGGAGGAAGAAAGTGACGGGGATTTCTTCGTTGATAGTAAGGAGGAGGAGGATGACTAGTCGCATAACTTGACAACGCTCTTGTCGTATCCATCTTGTGTTAAGGGGCCGTGGCTGGTCCAGGGTTAAAGCACTACAGGCATGAATGATAGAATCATGGACGTGCGTATATATGTAAAATGCAAATACCATACATGCGTCGTACTACAAGTTTGATCAAATGTTGGGCGAACAGTTTACCCATCTCGGATTGTGAGTTGTACCGTATGTGTACGCACGCGGACCAAGCAAGCGCCGTCGGCTCACTGCAGGCGCTGTCAGCTCCACCACCTCTGGTCTGGCTTATTGGATGTTCGAGGAGATAAGGTGTTGCTAAGCCTTCTGCATGGTCAGAACTTTGTTGTGACACTCGCACTCGCACTCACCGCTGGGTTTGTGGATAGGAGAAGAGAGGGTCCCATCTCCCTCAACCCCTCCATTACCAATCACTGCCCCACTTGCCTCGGCTCATCAGCCCTACCCTCTCGACGGGCACCTTTCCTAAGCCGGTATTTCCCCGGCGCGACGCTCGTCATGGCTTCGTGTCTTCCTCTGCTGTCTTGAAGATTCTGCAACTCCGACAAGTCTCATCCCTCCATATCGAGACACCTTCCTTGCACAGCAACGACTAGGTTACGCCACTTGCCGGTTACTGCCCGAAAAATGCCCTGTTTGTGCACGGGCATACTCCCCGACTCCAGCGGGCCCTGGATTACAGATCCAGATGATGCAAGAAGGATCTTTTTTTTTCGGCCGTGAAATCATTTGTTTGCTTGGTATTACCGTTCCACTGGTCACTATATAGGTGCTCGTTGCTGCCCTTTTTTTCGAACTCATAATCCAGTTTCAGTCTCTTGCAACAACAACCTCTATTCTTTTTTGATACCCAGTCTAGATTTTGTTTTCATTTTCACTCGATACATTGCATCACACGACTAGTAACAACCAAACTTTCACCATGGTTCAGAACAAGGGTCTCATTTTCAAGAAGGTGCCTGAGGGCTGGCCAAAGCCTGGCGAGGATATTGCTGTTGAAGACCGCCCAATCGACCTCAACCAGGACCTGCCCGAGGGCTCTATCATCGTCAAGAACTTCTATGCCTCGTTCGACCCTTACCAGCGTGGACGCATGCGTCCTGCCGGAACAAAGTCATACTCTCCTCCCTTTGAGCTGGGCAAGCCCATGACCAACCGCTCCATCTTCAAGGTCGTCAAGTCCAACAACCAAAAGTTCAGCGAGGGCGAAACTCTGATTACCATGGGCGTCACCCCCATTGAGGAGTACTCCGTTCTCGACAAGGCCGCCGTTGACATCTGCAAGAAGCTCGAGAACCCCTACAACCTGGACCTCAAGTTCTTCCTCGGTCCCCTGGGTATGCCCGGTCTAACCGCCTGGTCCTCCTTCTACGAGATCGGCCAGCCCAAGAAGGGCGAAACCATCTTCATCTCCGCCGCCTCCGGCGCCGTCGGCCAGCTCGTCGGCCAACTCGCCAAGCACGAGGGCCTAACCGTCATCGGCAGCGTCGGCGACGACAAGAAGCTCGACTTCATCAAGAACGACCTGAAGTTCGACGACGGCTTCAACTACAAGAAGGAAAAGCCCGCTGACGCCCTCGCCCGCCTCGCCCCCAACGGCATCGACATTTACTACGAAAACGTCGGCGGCGAGCAACTCGAGGCCGCCATCAACGCCATGAACACCTTCGGCCGCATCATCGCCTGCGGCATGATCTCCCAGTACAACGCCAAGCCAGACGAACTCTACCCCATCCGCAACCTCATGAACATCGTCACCAAGCGCATCACCATGCGCGGCTTCATCGTCGGCGACGCAAACATGGGCCCCAAGCACGCCAAGGAGCACCAGGAGAAGCTGCAGAAGTGGCTCGCGGACGGTACCTTTAAGGCGCAAATCAGCGTTACCGAGGGTATTGACAACGCGATTGAGGGATTCCTGGGTATGCTCGAGGGAAAGAACTTTGGCAAGGCGGTTCTGCAGATTGCGGATTTGACCAACGAGTCGAAGATCTAGAGTTGTTAGTTGATTATGCATTTCTTTTTTTTTAGCGATAATATCGGCTCTAGATGAAGCCGTTGGAATATAGATGAATGAATCAATGTAAAATATTGAAAAGTATATGTTTGTATGATTTTGGCTCTAGAAGTGACGTCATCAAGTGAATACAGGGAGAGATAGAAAAAAAACCACATGACTCTACTTTGACGACAATACACCAGGAATAAAGTAAAAGTGCTTGATTACTTCCATCAAGGATCATGAGAGATCAGTCCCATTGACAAAGTGTAGCAGCTTCCCCTCAGTGCGGACCAAGTCAAACAAGACGGCTCTTGTTTCTACCCTCGAATGCGTCCCCATGCACCCCATACACGCTTTTCAAGAAAAGAAAAAAGAAAAACGTACACCTAAAGTCCAAGTTCCTACTCGAAACCGGACAAGTCAAGTGACCAAAGCCCGACGACTTTCTGATACAGAGCCCGGTGAAAAAAAAAAGAAGAACTCCCATATTGCCTCAAAAGCTATTACCCAGCCATCAATTATGCAACCATCAAACCCAGACATAGGAGAGAGAAAGAAAGTGAGAGTCTGGTTTGGCATGTCTTGAGAGTACATGAAACCCTGGTTATGTAATACAAAATAGAGAAAAGAAAATAAAGACATGACTTTTGAAGAAAAGGGTATACTCTAGCAGGTGCATGGCGGTTGCGACTGAAAGTGCTCTCCAGAGTGTTGAAGTGTTATGCTCGAATTCAGCAGAACCCTTCAGTGTGTCGCCAGTTGGCCTCAATGCTGCTATTTGTCAATTCCTGTTCGAGTCTTGCAACAACGTTCCTTACTTACGCCCTCTTGGTTCCCACACCGCCCCTCATGCAGCGCTCAGCGCATGCACAACCAACACTGGCACAATCACCGCAATGACAAGGCTAATATTAACTGCGATGCCAGCAATAAGCGCCATCCTCTTCGAATATGGCGTGCAGTGACCAAGATGACCGTCGGTCATTGAAGCGATGACGCTGTCTCCCATGTAGCGAAAGAGGATGATGGCTGGTGGAAGTACGCAAAACGCCGCGAATATCATCCACGAAAGCTTACGCCTTCTTTCCTCATCTTCCGGATTGACCTTACGTTCTACACAGAGCAGGTGAGGCGAGTGTATGTAGCCAATGGTGCTTCGAGAGGTAGCTGGGTAAATCTCAAGGCTGGGGAATGAACGATGCAGAGGTGTGTTCGTGTCGCTAGTGGACGGGCGATCACCACCTACAAAGTGCGTAATATGAGTACGTTTTGTTGACGAAGTTGATCGAGCTTCAGGAGATAGAAACATTTCCCGTAGTTTTGTCTGACCTGGTACAGCGGACCGACTGGTGCGACGTTGATTTCGTACAAAAGTGGTCGAGTTCCGGAGGTCCCGACAACCATCAAGAGGTGAATCGGTCTCTTGCGCTTGTCTCAATGCCTTTGAACTGGGGAAGAGAGTCATTTCAGATGATGCCCGGCTATGCTTTGGCCCATGGGTTGATTGACGCTGGCTTATCCGCGTGACGCTCCCAGTAGCCGGAAATGGCGATGCATAAAACCCAGTGTAGTCGGAACGAGAGCTTTGTCGACCAACAGTCGAACTTTGTCTCAAACCGGAACTGCTAGTGCTTGTAACACTCCTGATTGTCTTACGATTACTGGTTTCGTGAGGAGTGCTGGTGGACTTGCTTTTTGAACCGACAATTGAGAGCTTCTCGAGCATGGTTTGCCGTCCTTGACCGACGGGACCGCTCGGAGCGCTTGACATGTATGCAGGGTCTTGATTTCTAGACACGTCCGATTGAGGGGCATGTGCTGCTGACGGCTCATCGATGATGATGTTCTCATTAGGACCAGAAGCCAATAGTTCTTGCGTCTCTTTTTCACCAAAGGCATACAGATTCGCCGGCCGAGCGGGTAACGGAGAGGAAGAAGTGTTGGGCGTAGTGCGCCTGTCTGAGCGGATATTCAATTCAGGAGGCGACGACCTGAAAGGATGTGAGTGCTGAGTGAGGATCGGACTTGGGTGATTGTAATAGTTTGATCGAGCTGGTGACTGAGGTTGTTTTATCCAAGATGGGAGTGAACCATCCGAATTCAATCCCACACTTTTGCGCGTTTCCTCATCACTGCTATAGTCTGCGATACTGTCGAGCGACCCGTGATCTTTTGAGTCTCTACTGTTGCCACCGACTGTCTCCCAGTCATCTCGCTCTTCCACAGCGGCTGGCTCGTCATCATCCAAAGATCTATTGGTGACTGTTCTGTTTAGCAGCTGGCTGCCCGAGTTGCGTCTAGACCAGATGGCTGGAATCTTGTTGTCAATCTTTTGTTGGTTCGCTGTATCTTGGAAGATTTTTTCAGCTTGATACAGAGCTTCCTTGGATGTATTGGGACCATCAACCTCCGGTTGTGAGTACGACGAGGGCCCGAGAGGGTTGATCTTTGGCTGAAAGTATCCTAAAGAATGCACCAGGGGCTGCGTTAGATTAGGCTGTATAGGGTTTTCGTAACAAGAGACATAGAGAAGATCGTGTGTATCTCCATAAGAGTTGACCGATTCGTCGGAAGTTATTCCAGAAAACCCCAAAGTCGAAGGGACGAAGGGAGATTCATTATACTCAAAAGCCGGCGCGAGTGGTGGCACCTCTTGCGGAGGCAAACCTGGAGGATGAGTGAACACTAATCGTTCTGGGTAGCCATTGTCGACTTCTTGCAATGCAGGTTGTTGTGTTCCACGCTCCAATGAATTGGCATTGTTGCTGCGATTGCTCATAAGGCCCTGCTGGTAACTTGACGCGCGACGATCATCTCTAGTGTAGATAGACGAGCTTGGATATATCGATTCCATTTCATCATAGTAGGGTTTGGTCAAGCCACTTTCCTCCGAATGTGGTAACTGTAAGGTGGGCCTTGGCTCTGATTTTGTGGCGTGGTCGTCTGGTAACATTGATGAAAGCGGCTGTGTCTCATATCGTTCTATCGAGTACTTCCGTGACAGCTCAGCCTCATCCTGTCCCGGAGAGAAGGCTGGAAAGCCATCAGGCGACATCGGGCCAAGAGGTGTCACGGGAGACATTGGATCGACTGGGTCATAAGACGTCTCGGGGATGGAGATGTGTGGTCGAAAAGATCGTGGAAACTCCAAGTCCATGCTCATTGTCTCTGTGCTCACTTTCCGATTGTGAACTTCCTGTAGCTCCTCCTCTTGGGGCTTTAATGGTGCTTTGCTCAGTCGCTGTGTCAAGCTGCGAGTCAGACCCTTGAGAGAGAAGCGCGATTCACGTGCAGGCGTCTTCATAAACAAAGGAGAAGGTATATCAGCAGAGTCCGGGCTGTACATGGGAGACGTATACGAAGAAGAGTTCGGGCTGAGAGCTGCGGGCGTTGGAGGAGCCGGAAGATCCGCATTTGACTGGCTGGGAGACTCTGAGGGACGTCTTAGAATGCCCGCGTGCGCTGCATGGAAATCTCCATACACAGCGCGCTTGGGAGCCATCTTGTACTCTGGTAAGCCAAATTTCAAGAAACATTGAAAATCTCGTACCTCTGGAAAAGCGTCGTCGGAAGTGGGCACAGGGAAGTAGTCACTTGAGTCGAAGTCTCGCGAGGGAGTGACAATATCGTGCAGTAATAGGGAGTTGCGGGGGTTTACCAGATCGAACGAGGCACCCCGGTAGTGAATGGTTGCAGGTGTTGTGGGTGGCGTTGCAGGCTTGGTAGCTGCGAAACTTTGTGGGTTCACATGGACAGGCTCTCTTTCGTCTAGCGATGGAGAGGGTGACGAGTCCGCCCGGTGAGGTGGCTGTGGGAATCGCGATAGCGAAAATGACGAATGTGTTTTTGTTGTTTGTGCGTCACTCCAACGTGTGCGCTCTGTAGACAGGCTCGGCGTAGCCGGAGGGGGTGGTAGTGTTTGTGAAGACTCTACGTCCACAGGGGAGGGGGGGAATGCAACCAAACCTGTGGTGGCAGGCGGTCTCGGTAACCTCTTTCTCGAGTTGAAGTAACGTACCTTACTAGAGGAGCTGGTGGTGGATAGACTTGATATGCTACCTTTCTGCTGGCGAGGTTCAGTCGACTGCGCTCGAAATGGTAGGTCGGGTCGTGTCTGTTGGTGAAAAGCATGCAAAGTCGGTTTCAGTTGATGTGCTGATTGCGAAAAGTGAAGAGAGCGTTGTGAAAGCCCAGGGCCTGGCCAATTCGAGGGTGGCACCGAAGCAGCACGCTCAATATCGCTCAGTGCAGGTGCTGCAGGTTTCCTCCGTAGAGTTTTGCCTGGCGGTGGTGTTTCTTTCCGGGCTAGCGTAGGCGTTTGCTGTTGTTTGCGGTATTCGTGAATAGTGAGTGTGTGAATTGGGGTCCGTGAGGAGACTGTTGATGTGAGTGAGTGTTGCGGGGAGTGAATTGGCGTCATATGATTGCCAGCGTGCAGCCGTGGTGAAGCCCGATCAGAAGCCCACGGCGACTGTGAATGGGGGTAGAAGGTCGCCATATTCAGCTTTTGTGAAATGTGTTTGACAACACGGGAATTCTGTTTAGGCAGGCTTTCCCCAGCAACGAACTTGCACTACTATTATTGCAGCGAAGGCTTATGGGCGCTTGATCGGTCGTTTGTCTTAGATATCGAACTTGATGAAAGCGCCAGCGAACCCATGGCGGAACCTACGCCATGGCAATGGGTTGCAGTAATCAGCACCGAAGACTCTGGGTATCTTATCAGTCCTGCATATTCTCCGTCACACATGTAGTGCCTGACTAACCTGAATTGCCTTCGAACGTAAACCTAGTCACCGTACCGAAAAGGACTAAGTCTTGGGACTTATCCTTTGTCTGGTCCAAGATGGGAGTGTAGTACCACCTGTTTCTGCCTACGATCTTCTTATTATGCTGTGCTGATGTGAAGCGTATGTACGTAGAATAGAGCGACGTCAGAGGAAGCGAAGATTTAGGACGAACGTTCAGCAGCAAAGGCGAGGGAAGACGGGAGCATTAAATTCAGGGTCAATGGGAAAGAAGAAAGACTACAAGTGGTTGCTAGAGAGGGGAAGAGGGCGAGGGCGAGGGCGAGGGCGAGGAGGAAAGAGCGTTGCACGACGACCTGGAGAGCGAGAGACGAGGAAGGCACGACGCCGTGGTAGTAGTACCGGGTACCTGGGGAAGGAAGACGCGACAAAACATGATTGGGAGCAACATTTGCACAACGGGGCCGTCAGCCCTAGACACTTAGGGGCGGGCTCCGGGCAGTCGTCATCTCAGCAGACGACGGATTTCCACTGCATCCACGGTAGGTGTCATTGTTCATTACAAGTACAAGGCTGTTGGGTACGAAGAGAGAGCAACGCCGCGTCGTGGATGGTCGTCGACTACTCGACCCCGGCCTAGCGCAGACTACTCGCCAGCCACTCACACGCCCCAGCTTCCCTCAGCCCGGAGACCGCAGACACGGCCATCGGGCATCCTCAACCACTGGATCCCTTGCGCTGAATCCTGCTAGTCTCCATCATCTCGTTTCCAACCCGCACAACCGGGCGCCGGCAGCTGTCACAGATCCAATCAGCCACTGCCGACCTGCTGCCTCGTCCTGTGACAAGCCGGCGCCACCCAACTGACGGAACTGCTTCTATTCAAGGCACGTAAGCGAGCCAGTAGCCACCTGCAAACTGCATGTTCGCCCGCGTCGGATCATCACCAGGTCACGCACCATTCCCCTATCCTGATATCGGCCCATTGGTCTCTTGTAATCGGATATTAGATGCACACACGGAGCATTGGCTGACGAATCGATTGTTATGTCTATCGGGCCACATGCGCACATATACATGTACTTTCCACGTGACCAGGTCTTTATTATAGCTGCTCCTCCAGCGCGTGTCCTACTTCCTCCAGTCTCTGCATCACCGAGTATAAGTCCTTTTAAATTCTGCTTCGCCATACTCCTTCAGGCGTATCCGTGACTTTCTGCGTCGTATTGACGGATGTCGCCTTGTTTCCACAACATGCGGGGGTGAATATGAAAAGCGTCGTGGATCAGGGCTTCGAGGAAATCGGTGGTCGACAACAAGTCGAACATCAATATGCTCAGGTGTCCAGTTCCGTCTTTCTCGCTGGCTTGAGTCTTGCATAGGCGATTGATATTCACCCGGGGACCTAGGACGCCGCTTGGAGCGAGAAGGTGGACGGTCCGGCTCATTGGCTTTGTTCTCCTCCAGTGGCCGCCTGCGAGTTTGGTTGGGGTTGGACTCTGCTTGGTTTGTACCCTGATACAGTCAGCTTGTGGCATATTTCCTATGGTCAAGCCAACTTACAGTCGTCGGATAGATAGTCCCTGGCATCATGACATACTGATCCAGCGAGTGTATCAAATCCGCAAAGTTGTAGCCAAGCCCAGGGTGGCTGGGAAGAAACCGCTGGCCAACGTCATGTTCGAAGCTGACAGCAAAGTTTTGCGATGGCATGTACTCGGAGAGGTTGTTGTACCATTGGGGATATGCACCATACCAAGTTGCTACGCTGGCATCTACATTGACCGTCATGTATATGTTCTTAACATCCTTTGGCTTCTGCACAAGCATCACAAAATCAAACTCACGCGGCAACCCTGATTTCTGGAGCACGTTCTCGCTGAGCGTCCAGACGGCTTTGGAGTCCTCAATCGTCTGCCCCGACCCGTCTTGCCTTGACCGCACTGAACCTTGGATACTCATCATGTGATAGACCTTGTAGCTGCTTTGCACAGATGCTTGCGGTATTATATATGCACCGACGGGGGATGCCGGAGACACGCCCAATGAAGTTGAAAGGCTGAAATTCCACTGGAGGTTCTCTGGGGATACGGCACCAAACATGAGCTCTGGAGCGTGCTTCAGGATGCGCGGTTGCGAGCGCCCGGGCCGTTTGTTGGAGCCGGAGCTGGGGTCTTCGCCGTGCAGGCTTACTTGAATCTCGGCATTCCTGAAGCGATGCGATTCCGGATCATGTGGATGAAAGACGAAACGGACAGAGACAAAGTAGACCTGGTTGATGGCGGCTCCGTGGAGGACATCGGACCTGTAGAAGCCGTGCTGCAAGCGGTTTACATGAGCAGAGACGTACGCTCTTCCGGGCAGACGGCGTTCGTAGAGGCATATTTGGTTGAGATGAAGGCGCTTCTTCGGGATGTTGGGATCGTTTGATGGAGGCTTGGCCGGCGCTCTGCTTCTTTTGACGGGTGCATCTGATTGCGCTTGGCGAGGCTCCTCGTCTGCCTTGTCCGGTTTGAGATGCTTGATGAGCGAGTGCATCTCAGGTGGCGTGTAGAAGGGTGGCTAGGGGTGGTCCTCTGTGGCGCGGTACTTGGGTCATGCATACATGTTGCCTAGGCTTGGAATAGAGGATATGCAGTCGGGGGCTGTCATGTTGTTATAGCAGCCATGGCTCTGGACGTGAGGATTGATCGAGCAATGTGCGATCAAGGCAAAGGATACTGGAGCGGACCGCATGAGGTGTGTCACGGGCATGGTATTGTATCAACGCCTGGCATGGTCAGCACCTCGTGGGCTTTGATCTTGATCAGCCTGGCTTGAGCCGCGATGGTCTTAGCCATAGAAACGGGGCACATGGCATGGCGTTATGCTTATATGGCCATGTGAGTGCTTGTCGGGTTATAGTTGAGGTGGTCGGGTTATAGTTGAGGTGGTCGGGTGCGGGTGACCACGACAGAGGCTCGCTATCGGCAGCGGGCGGGTCCTTATCGTAAGCGGCCCCCGCAATCTGCCCCAAACGGTGAAGCCTGCGAGGCTGCTCAAGGGAAAGGGAAGTACTAGTAGGGTAGAGGGTGAGCTTGGGAAAAGGAATCTGGTGGGGCCTTGTATTCTCCTACTACGCCGAACGACACATACGTAATTACTGTACTTGGCTTGTGAATAGGCATCATGCAGCTGTGTCCCAAGGAGGTGTGTCACTGGCTGCCATGACTGCTATTACCTCACCGAAGCTTGCTAACAATGTCGTGACAGCTTGACAAGCTCGTCATATCCCAGCTCGGCCTGCTTGCCCAGCGTCGCCTGGCACGGGGCGTCAAGTTGAATCACGCTGAAGCTGCTGTACGTCCAAGACACCCTTGCACGCCCTCTGCTAACGGCTGCAGGCATTGATTGCAAACAATCTCCACGAAGTACGAGCCCCTCCGCTGACTGCACGCACACCCCCACTCCCATGCTGAACGCCTATAGCTTATTCGCGATGGCAACCATACTGTCGCCGATCTCATGTCCATTGGCAAGACCATGTTGGGTCGCCGCCATGTACAGCCTGCAGTTGTCTCATCGCTCGTAGAGTTGATGGTCGAAGGCACCTTCCCCACAGGCACCTATCTTGTTACCGTCCATCACCCCATCTCTACCGAAGATGGAGACCTCGAAAAGGCGCTATATGGCTCCTTTCTCCCTATTCCCTCCAATGAATTGTTCCCTCTGCCCGATCCTAGCGTGTACGATGACACCAAGCAACCAGGCGCAATAGTCGCTGTCAAGGGAAAGAGCGGACTCATCAAACTGAATGAGGGGCGCAAGAGAATAAAACTCAAGGTAAAGAGCGTGGGAGACCGGCCAATTCAGGTACGTCAAGACCGTCACATGGGAATACAGAACACGCGACTCACGACGACAGGTCGGATCGCACTATCACTTTATCGAGACAAACCCTCAGCTGCAATTCGACCGCGTTCGAGCGCACGGCTACCGACTTGACATTCCCGCCGGCACCTCGGTACGCTTTGAGCCTGGTGACACGAAAACCGTCACGCTTGTTCAAATCGGCGGGAACCAGATCATCAAGGGTGGAAACCAGATTGCTTCAGGCTTCATTGGAGACCTGTCCGTCGCTAACACTATCGTAGAGAAGTTACAGGCTGGAGGTTTTCTTCACGAGCCTGAGCCCCATGGCGATGCTGCCCATATTGACATTTGTACCATGGAGCGACAAGTCTACATCTCAATGTTTGGTCCGACAACTGGCGACTTGGTGAGGCTAGGCGCTACAGATCTGTGGATCAAGGTAGAAAAGGACATGACTGTATATGGCGACGAATGTGCATTCGGAGGAGGTAAGACGCTGCGTGAGGGCATGGGTCAGGCTGGTGGGCGATCAGACAAGGAGTCTTTAGATACAGTCATCACCAATGCCCTCATCGTCGATTGGTCCGGTATCTACAAAGCCGACATTGGAATCAAAGACGGCATGATTGTTGGCATTGGCAAAGCAGGCAACCCGGACGTTATGGACGGCGTAGACCCTAGGCTGGTGGTCGGAGCCTGCACCGATGTCATAGCTGGCGAGCACAAGATTGTGACAGCGGGCGGTATTGACACACACATTCACTTGATTTGCCCCCAGCAGGCGGAAGAGGCTATAGCATCTGGAATCACAACAATTCTCGGAGGCGGTACAGGACCCAGTACTGGCTCGAACGCAACAACATGTACGCCTGGTAAGACGCACATCAAACAGATGCTTCAGGCCATTGATGAGCTTCCTCTCAACTACGGAATTACGGGTAAAGGAAATGATTCTGAGCTTCGTCCACTGCAACAGCAAGCCGAGGCCGGCGTTTGCGGTCTCAAACTGCACGAGGATTGGGGAAGTACGCCTGCAGCTATTGATGCTTGCTTACAAGTCTGCGATGAATACGACATACAAACACTGATCCATACCGACACGCTGAACGAATCTGGTTTCGTTGAGTCTACTATCGCGGCGATTAAGGGCCGAACGATTCACACATACCATACCGAGGGTGCCGGCGGAGGACATGCTCCAGATATCATCAGTGTGGTTGAACATGACAACGTGCTGCCCTCCTCAACCAACCCTACCCGGCCATATACCCGCAACACGCTGGACGAGCACCTCGACATGCTCATGGTCTGCCATCATCTCTCCCGCAACATTCCCGAGGACGTAGCCTTCGCCGAGTCGCGTATCCGAGCCGAGACGATTGCCGCAGAAGACGTACTCCACGACCTCGGCGCCATCTCAATGATGTCTTCGGACTCACAAGCTATGGGCCGTTGCGGCGAAGTCATTCTCCGCACCTGGAACACAGCACACAAGAACAAGGTGCAGCGCGGTACACTCAAGGAAGACGAGGGCACCGACGCAGACAACTTCCGCGTCAAACGATACATCAGCAAGTACACAGTCAATCCAGCCATTGCCCAGGGCATGGGCCATCTCATCGGCAGCGTCGAAGTAGGCAAACTCGCCGATCTCGTCCTCTGGACTCCAAACAACTTTGGCGTAAAACCAAATTTGATTGTAAAGAGCGGATTCTGTTCATACGCCGTCATGGTAACTACTCCCCTCCTCCTCTACAAACAACAACAACAACATCACTAACATAATCCAGGGCGATCCCAACGGATCCATCCCCATGGTCGAACCCCGCATTATGCGCCCAATGTTTGCCCCGCTCGTCCCCGCCTCCAGCATAACTTTCGTCTCCCAAGCCTCTATCGCCTCGGGCGTTGTGCACTCGTACGGCCTGCGCAAGCGTGTTGAAGCAGTCAAGAATTGCAGGAACATTGGTAAGCGCGATATGAAGTTCAATGATACGAGGCCCAAGATGAAGGTTGATCCGGAGAGTTATACAGTGGAGGCTGATGGCATGATTTGTGTGGCAGAGCCGGCGGAGACGTTGCCCTTGACGCAGGGCTATTTTGTTTATTGATCTCTTTCTCTCTTTTTCTTTTTTTAAAAAAAATATTGGATCTTTATTGTATCTTTGTATAAATCGTTGGATAACGTAACCATGCTTATCAAATTGAACTATTCGTGCTTTCCCTTTCACATATACTTTTCCTCAATTCAAAGTACGATCTTGCAATGTTTATACTTGACCAAAAGAATTTTGTACGTGTATTCGAAATAGCAGCGCTGTATCGTTCAAAAAACACTGCAGCTTTACTTCTACTTGCCCGTAAACAGTCTACTCTTCTAGCCCCAATAGCCTTCCTCTCTCTGCCTCCTTTTTTTTATTGTTGTCAATCACAACCTAATAAATACCTATATCCTATTCCAGAAAAACAAACACTACCAAGGCCACAAGTCCACCAAGCCCTCCCCCGCAAAAAATGCCCCAAAAGGCAAAACGGTCATGACACTACCTCGAATACCATCAGTCTCCTCTCATACTGACCACTACCTCCCTCTGTTCCTTGCTTTCTACCCCATCAACCTTCTCCTTCTTACTCATCGGACTGCCATTACTGCCTCCGCCCAGCATACCTTGTCTCTTCCGTTTGACAGCCGGCTCAAAGTTACTCGTCGTCAAGCCGAGTATTGCGGAACCGCTGAGCTCAGAGTTTGTCCTCGTACCACCACCCAGAGCATGCATAAGCTCAGGTCCCATATCCGTGGTATCGATCTGGTGGTGATGATGATGGTCGAAACTCCCAAGTTCCTCGCCCAGAGCACTGAACAACTGTCTCTCTAGACGACCAGTGCTATCGATGCTTGATTGCGAAATGCGAGACTTGTGGCTGGGTTTGAAAGGCGAGAGTTTGCTGGTATCCACTGCCGGATTCGCGTCTAAGCTGGGGTCGACAGCATCGACAGCATCGATGTCGATGATTTCCACTAGTCCAGATATAACCTTTCGATCGTCCTGAGTGGAATTACCCTGTGCTTTTTGAACGAAGCTTTGTTCCATTTGAGAATCCGCATTGGCTATTGGCATCAAACACTCATCTTGCCGAGCCGCTTGTTCAGACAGCTTTGGTGAATCAGACACCAAGTCCTCCTTTCTGCTCCTGAAATGAAAGTTTGATGGCTCATGAGCCGAGCCGAGCATGCCGATTTCTGTGGCTGACTGTGGCGCCTCGCTTCGGTTGACACGATGCGCGCTTGCCTGAGTTGAGGGCCAGCCTCTCATTGCTAATTCTGAAATGGTTGCTGGTTGCCCCTGAGCAAAAGGGTTCGGAGTTGGAACACGATTGGCCTGGGGAAACGGCGTTGGCAATCGCAATTGCGACGGCCCAATATCCTCCTTGTTATTTGGAATAGACGGGCGTGGCCTTGTAGACATTCTGTCTTTCCCGTCTTCTTGGGAGTAATGTTTATGCGACGACGACTTGTTTGAGACATTTCGTAAGACACTGCTAGAATCTTGATACGACGATTTGCGAGCCAGAACTCCAGACGGACGTTTGATCGGCGGAGCAGTTCCAAATTTTGGGGGATAGTAAGCGTGAGCGGCTTGTTGACTAGTAGACTGATGGAATGGCCCACCGGGTGTCCAAGAAATCTCACGATTATGCTTTGGTGGGCTTATTGCGTCGATTATCTGGCCCAACTGGTCATCTCGAAGCGCAACGACAAATTGCTTCTCTTTTCGGGTTTTTGAGTATTCATCCCAATCTATACTGTCACTCTGAATATGCTGAGACATATTTCTCATCCATGGCAGACCATTGGTGGATGTGTGTGAGTCGTACATGTAATTCAGCACGGGGTGATCGGACGACGCGGATGTCTTCCTCTTTTCTGACCAGCCATCTATACTGGTAGTGTCGGTGGTGGAATTGAGCGTGCGGAATGCGTCATCCCATGTGGTTGCACGATGATTGTGACTAGTGGGAGCAACAAATTGCTTTGGAAAATGTGGAATAGGTGGCAGGTGCACGTTGGAGTGTCTCTTGGGCTCGGTGTCATTCGAACCATTGAATGCGGGTTGTGCATTATGCAATTGCGGAGTTTGCATTTGCATGTTCCCTCTAAAAGGATACGCATCAGGGGTCCATGAAGTTGTTGGAGATGGCCGAGAGTACTGGCTGTCCCGGTTAAACGCATCGGGGAGGTAGAGTGGGTTCGAGATCGGCCACGAGATTCCGGTCTGCTGGAGGATATCTGCGTTGCTTGAACATAACATACCATATGGTTCTAGTATTTCGAAACATACCTTTTGGTGCATGCTGAAATGAGAAGCAAACGAGCTCGTTGGCAGTACCAAAGTCTGAACTCCCAGGACTTTGCGTCTTGCTCATCAGCTGCTCTGAAAGCACGACTCGTATGCGCCCATATGGGTCACGGGCATCCCAAATGTTATTCGTGAGCGTAAGATTGTGGAACGAAGGGAACTCGAGAGGCCGTTTTCGCTGGCTCGAAGGTAAATCATTGAAGGCGAGCGACCTCTTCTCGTAGGCTCCACAGTAGTCAGATCTCGTTTTATCCAATTTTTGCTCTGAATCGCTTACCAATCTCTTGAGGCCATTTCGTATTCAAGTCGAAGAAGCCGTGACTGAGCCGGTCAGTAGGTGTCACTCTCACTCGGCAGCATATGCTTCAGGATTACAAGAGTCTAGCCTCGCCCACAATGACCTGGACGGCGAACACTATCTTTTGGTTGCCTTTGCATTGGGATTCGAGGAGCGCCGAGGCTTTCAAGGTTGTACGCCATGAATGAAGTGAGATACGAAATGGTGTCGAGGGTGGTAGCGAGGTGATGAAGCAGGTCAATGTCGGCAGTTGGCGCCCGTCTGTGGTGCGTCAGTGTAATTTACCCCAAGTGATAGCGAGCCGGCCTAAAAGAGACTAGATAGAGGTGCAACTCACACTCCACTTGCGAGACAAAGCAAGCGGTCTTGAACTCCTGAATCGGAACATGGGAGTTTCGGGGGAAGAGGATCACATCCCAATCATCGTAGCGCATGATCGGCGTGTGATTGCTGCTGTTCAGATCCAAGAGAGCAACAAGAAACCGGTAGTTGTGCTGGAGCGGGAATGTATGAGACGGGGAGAAGAGGCATGTTGACAAGTTGAAGGCTGGGTAATGGCGGGCACGCCTGAGGAGCCTCATGGGAAGGTACGAATGGTCAGACTCATCACACGTCACATGGTGACTAACCCATGGACTTCTGGATATCACGGACATTGATAACCATGACGATGCCGACCAAGGAGACAAATGCGTCTTGATTTCGATTGGAATACAGTGATGATGAGTTGAGCAATAGAAAGATGTATCCTGCTAACATACCGAAACAAGCATGTCTGTCAGTCCCGTTTTTGTCAAGCAGCTGTCTGATTACCGAACAACCGTTGCAAGGCAACAGATACGTTACCCATAGAACACGTATCGTGAAAAAATAAAACGCTTTCAAAGTAGAATTATTCCCTGATATAAGAGACATTAGATTGTTGGAGGAACCTCCTCCTTTCGTAACATGGGTATCCGCTGTTTTGGTATTCGCCAAACGCCTTGCTAAAACAACGTAGTCCCATATCTGAAAGCCATGTACACCGACATTATGGTAAGTGCCCCCCCCTTTTAACTCCTTGCTAAACCATCAAGTATTACTATATGCACATCTGGCCGACATGGCCTGGCTGGCGGGCCAAAGCAGAAAGGGAACTGCTACGAAAAGGAACCGTTTGGATCGTTCGATTGGGGCGGTGTGAAACGAGTGAAGCCACCGAGGCCGGATTGGAGACCGTTTGCCGCGCCGCTCTGAAGAGTAGGGGCGTTCTGACTGTCGTGTTGTGAGCCAGCATAGCTATTGTTCGCGATGGATGAATAAGGTGGAGGCAGCGACGCCTGCGTGGGAGGAGGACTGCGCACAGCAAGGTTAGTGAAATGCTCCCTGAGCTCTGACAAGGCAACAAATCATACGCACGCCAGCCAGACTCTACATACGCGCACGAACAAAGAAAACCAACTATGATGCACTTGGAACCAGACCGTTAGATGAATCAAACAAGTAAGCAAGTAAGCAAGCACGCAAAAAACCACGCAAAAAATAGAAGAATCGTGTGATTGGAAGGATAGCCAATCTGCTGGTCACAGAGCGCAACCGGTAAAAGAAAGGCATTCGACAGAAAGCAGCACCCGACCCATGCATGACTAGCTACATCCCATAGATGCTCCCCGAAAGAAGAGTAGCACGCTCTGAAAGAAAAGTCCGAGTGGGAGAATGGATGGCCTGTTATACAAAGACTCCCCTCTATGGCCCTCCAGCAAGATGGTGTCGTCAGAGAAAGTCGAGAACTTTTAGAGTACCGCCCGTTATAGAACTAAAGACCAAATCGCTCGAAATCGTCGTTGCCGAGTCATGAAAGGGGTCGTTGCAGTAAAGCCAACGGGATGAACCACGAATGAAGCGCCGTGCAAGCAATACAGAGGGAAAGAATGCGCTTACTATAGGAAAGTCAGTAACTGGCAGCGGCATAGAAGAGGGGGAGATTGAGGTAGGAGACAATGCTCAACTGCCGAGAAGGCGTTTGCATTTTTATCCAGTCCTCAAGACATGCTGTCGCCTTACCTTCATCATAGGACCGTAACCGCCGCCACCACCGCCGTAGGGGTGTTGCGGGGGCATGCCCATGCCAGGGCCAAAGGGCACTGGTGGAGGTGGCGCAGGGCGGTATGGGGTGCCGGCTGGTCCAGAGTTGTTCTGAGAGCGGCCCCAGCTAAGACGCACGCGAGAGTTGCCGATTGGGTAACCTTGCATCTGGTTGATAGCCATTTCTGCGGCATGGCGCTGCACGAACTGGACGAAGCCACATCCCTTGCCTGGAGGAATCTTGACATAGGTGATTTCGCCGAAACCTTGGAAGAAGGAGCGTAGCTCGTCCTCGGTAACATAACCCGAGAGACCGCCGACGAAGACGGTAGTGTTGTTGGGATCGGTGAACTGGTTCATGGGCTGGGGAGCGCCATAGTAGTTACCCATTGGGGGAGCACCCATCGAGTACATGCCCATGCCGGGGCCGCCCGCACCCTGGGGCATACCCATTCCGCCAGGGCCGCCTGGGCCACCGCTCTTGTTCTTTGGTGTCGCAGTAGAAATACGCATGGGGCGGTTGCCGCAGTAAACGCCTTGCATCTCAGTCAGAGCCTTTTGCTGGTCTTCCTCGCTGGCGAATCGCACGAATCCATATCCACGGGACATGCCACTGATGGGGTCCGACATGATCTTTGCCGACTTGGTCGAGGGATACTTGTTCTGGAACAACTGGACAAGGACGAATTCGGTAACTTCAGGGCCCAAGTCTCCGACGAAGATGCTGAACTCGGGACCACGCTCGTCGCGGCTATTCTTTTAGTGTTAGAGATCATTGCAGTGTGTATGTGAGAGACTAGACATGACTTGCCTCCTATCAGCGAGACCGCCACCAGAGGCCCAGTTGAGCTTGAATGGACGGTTTGAGTTTGGGATCAGTTGTCCGTTAAGGTTCAGGGCCTTGGCCGCAGCGTCAGGGCTTGCAAAGTCGACGAAGCAATATCCAGCATTGCTGCTATGCGGTAGTTAGCCTGGTGGCTTTCTAGAGTGGGATTGTGTGCTTACCCGGAGAACTTGTCACGGATCATCTTGACATTGACTGTCTCACCCATGTTGTACCAGATGCTGCGGACAAAGTTCTCGTCAATCCAGGGCTCGAGCTCACCCATCCTGTGCCATTGTTAGCATAACGTATTTTGCTACATGCCATGTGGCGCTGAGGCGAGCGTTGGCCACATTGCACATGGCGTGCGCAGCGTGGGGGGCGCATGTGTGGACTCACCAGAGAGTCGTCTTTCCGGCACCCTGGCCTTGACCATCGCCGCCAGCGCTGCCTGGAGGGCCCATGTTGCCCTGGGGTGGGAAGCCGTTGCCGGAGGTGTCCATGGGTTGGCCCATGTCGCCCGGCTGTGGGGTGGGGTTGTTCATGTCGCCCTGGGGTGGGCCCTGGAACTGGTCGTTATAACCGTTGTTGAAAGACATGCTGAATAGATCAAGCGGGGTAGTCGGATGGACTAGCGGAGGTGGGGAGTAAGGGTAGGGCGCTCTAATTATGATTGAGAAGTGTAGGAGTCGTTTATATGTCTGCGCGCGAAAAGCAATGGTTAGCGTCGGTGAATGGGCGGGTAAGTAAGCCAGGCAGCGGGAGCGAGGTGAGTGCAGGGCAAGGCTGGGCTGGGCAGGGTAGGGCAGGGACGGATCGGGCAAGGGCCCTAGGCGCGCGCACACTCACCACTGGGAACGATGCTCCTGGTGTCGCAGTAAGGGAAACGTAGCCTGTGAAGGTGTGAAGTGGGCGCTGACGTCGGGCTCAGGCGCAAAGGCAGCTCGGCCAAGGAAGGAGCCTAGTAAGCTAAGAGACACTCGGAACAAGCGGCGACAGTAACTCGGGATTGAGCACCAGGGACTGTGCGGGTGACGACAGTGAATGAGTGACCGTGAGGAGGCTCGAATTGCAATCTGTGCGGGCCAGTCAGTATTGTGTGCAGGATGGCCCGACGCGATGGATGACATGGGGGGGCGGGGGCGGACATGAGGCTCGTCTCGTTGGTTGGGTCGCGACACGACGACCACCACTGCGACCCCAACGGCGGCAGCGGGGGGGCGACGACGACGACGGCGATGGGGCAATTGCGCTTGCAACTGGGCCCTCAGCGGGCAGTGGGCTGGTTTGCGATGCGAACGAGTCCGTGCAGGCCGACGACGTCAGCGGGCTGGATGCGCACACACGACGAAGCGCTGGCAATTGCGTGTGGACAATTCTGCGTGCATTGTCGATATGCAGCAGGCACAGTTGGGGGGCGGGTGGGCGGAGGCGCGCCAAGGCGAGAGATGAAAATTGTGCTGTTTGGGAGGGGGGAGATGGGCTTACCTGCGGCAAAGACTCAAGGACACAGAGGACGGAGGCGGACGGGAGAAACAGGTCGAATCCAAACACCAGAACGCAAGGGAAGCAGAGAAGAAGACGGCGACGAGAGTGGGAGAGGGGAGGGGGGGAAAGATGTGTGTGAGAAGAAAGGTGGGTGGGGTAAAAGAGCAAAGAGCGCAGATGATGTGCTGCCGAGCGAATCCGCTAAGTTTACGGCGCTCGGTAGCGACGCGCAGAGACGAAGCTGGGGGGTTAGAGAGCAGAGGATGGCGCCACGATTTGCTGGATCGGGCAGACACAAGCTTTGGAGATCGATACAAGGATGGCGGGCCTTGGTGGCTCAGCACGGCTGCAACGCCCTCTACCAGGGCGCAGATTGGCTGCAACGCCATTGCACGCCCAGGCAAGGTCGGAATTAACGATCTCCTGTGCGTCAACTGCTGACTTTAGCTGAGCTGGTCGTTGGGCCCACCCCTGGCCGCTGCGCCGCTGCCACTGCTCAATGACGCGCAGCGCCATGGGACAGACATGGCCGAGTGCGGGGCGCGGTGCTGCGCTGTGCACTCATCCTTTGTATCTATGTATGCACATGTGCATACTACATATTATGCCATGTGGGTACAGAGTAGTAGATTACTTACATACACATACATACTCATTACTCCTCCTCCCCCGACTCCGACTCCTCCCACTACCCAGCCAAAACAAAGCGCCGTCCCTCTGCACCAAATGGCCGACGCCCCTCACCGCTCGCCGGGGCTAACAGCTGCACCTCTCTCCCACCCAAGCTGACAGAGACATGGCACAGCCGCCTTCTCCCTGTCTGCGTCGGTGGACCCATCCAGCCCATCCATTCCACAAATGTGCCTACGTATACGTAAACGTCTATTGCTCCGCCCATGTCTGTATCCAGCAACCTCGTCGACAGGGACCTGGCCTGGCCTGGCCTGGCCCTTGGCCCAAGGATCCCGCACGCCCCTCTTTCTCTACCTGCAAACACTTACATACACACATACGTAGTACACATCACCATCTCGTATCTATGCACCAGCACAGGAAGGAGCCACCTCACCCATGATCCATTGCATTTCATCATGATTCGCATTATATCCACACATCTACCATGGCGCTCGCCATTACATACTTGTACATGTATGTATCTATCGATGCCCATATGCATCTACACAGCCTGGCCAGGCGCCGTCTCCGGGATGCCAGCAGCAGCCTTGGCCTCGCCCAGCTGCTCGCGGCCCTCTGCAAACACCTTGTCAAAGTCATACTCGTACCACCTAATGTCCGGGTTCAGCCCGGCAAACTTCCACTCGCCGTCAATCTTCTTGTACCAGTGCGTGTTGAAGCTGTGGGCGTGGCCCTTGACCGCCACCGTCGTCCGCGACTCATCCGTGTATCGCTGGTGAGGCACTCGCAGCTGGTGGTATCCCGTAATCTCATCCTCGGCCGTCTTCTCCCACCGTGTTCCGCCGATGAAGTGCTGTGTCTTGAGGAGGGGGTTGCCAAGCACCGCAGGGTCAGAGGCCATGGCCACAAACTCATCCGCTGGCATCGCCTCCCACATCTTGTCCAAGAAGGACCGGTAGTCAATCTTCAGTGTCGGAGCAACGCACTTGCGCAGACGATCCCAGTCCTTGCTGTCGTAGCTGTCTGCCCATTCGTAGCATGCCGATTGACAGCCCATGACCTCTGCACCCAGTTAGCCATAGAGTCACTTCACTGCACACGTGACACATACCCTCAAACGTAGGCTGGAGTTCCTTCTTCTCAAACATGATGACTTTCTGGGCTCTGATTCAAACGCTTTGTGATGAGGGTTTCAATACTGTACTTGAATGCTTGTCCTTGTATCTTGTTTGCACCCTTTGGTCTTTATATCCTACCTACTCCATATTCATCCACCACTATAATGGGCGTCGACTTCTGCCACTCGTCTTCGGGTCCCCGCCCAACGGGGCCCCCTCGACACTGCCGGCGCCGTCCTGCGCATGCGCGACGGGGCCGGGCACCTCTCTCAAGACCGGAGACGCTCTGTTTCAAATTCGGCCAGAATATCTCTGCACTCAAGCTTGGCTTCATAGCCGATAAACATTTCGCCTCTTCTACGGTCGTCGCTGCCGCGGGCCCCTCACGGAGAAAGCAGGCGCACGTGCCACAAACACTGCCATCTTTCCGATGGTGCGCCGTAACCTCAACCTTCACCTCACAAACACTCATCCTATACTCCATCTATTCCTGGTGGCTTGCAAACTCATTCATTCTCCCTCATTGCCGTTCCAGCTCTTGGAAAGCTGCAAGAATGTGATCCATTTACTTGGTGCAGGCCCGGCGCAGTGCACATCGCTCTGATGTCAGTAGCCTCCAGTACTACAGACTAACATGCACTGCAAGGCTGTTACCTCGGTTGCTTCTCATCATCAGTCTGAACTACCTCCATCTAACACAGGATGCCTGAGACTCCACCTTTCTTTGAGCAAGAGATTTGTCCGCCTCAGCACATATGGTTTTTGGCCCCCAATTTTCAGAAGCAGTAAACTTCACGTTCTCAATACCCCACGTTCTCTTTCTCAGTCACATTCGCATCAATCCACTCTCTGTCTCTCTCCATTTCTGCACAACCAAGCCGAGTGAGTTCCCACTTGATCAGCAACACCATGTCGTCTTGGGATCCAATCCTGCCGCCATGGTGGACACCTCCGTGGAGACCACCCCCGTGGTGGGACGCAGATACCAATATAAAAGACGGATCGCGTGGACAGAAGATCAAAGATGCATATGCAAAGGCAAAAGAATGCGCGTTATGCAAGAGCTTTGTGTGGCCGGCCAAGGGTGTAGAACTTCCAATCGACAAGTTATCGTCGTCTGCTAAAGCAGGCTGTGCTGGCTGCATGATTCTATGTGCCATTGCATCTTTGATTGAATATACAGAGCCTCCTAATGAAACGTATCCTATCAAAAGTATGCAGTTCAAAATGGAGCATTCACGAATCCTAGCTACATCGAATATGAACATTAGTTATGAGGCGTACTCTCCGTACAGTACGTCCAAACGTAACCATAGCGTGATGACGGATGCTGATTTCTTTAGTGCAACAAAATCCTTGGAAGATACCGTACCTTCCCCCAGAACTTGAAGTCGCATCATATTCTGGATCTAGTCATGCCATTAGACGCACGCTGTCCTGGCTACGGGCTTGCGACGAGACACATCAATCGTGCAAGCGCACTAATTTACCTCTGCCGTCGTGTCGTCCTCATCCAAGGACCACAGAATATCAGGCTTCATGAAAGTAACGGAGAGACCGAGCCCTATGCCTGTCTAAGTCACTGCTGGGGCAAGAGACATATCATTAGGACGACTACATCTAATCTCTCGCTCCACAAGCAGCAAATCAGGTGGGCTCAGCTCCCTCTCACATTCCGGCATGCCGTGTCCTTTGCCTATCGCCTTGGCTTAAAGTATCTCTGGATCGACTCGCTGTGCATTATCCAAGACGATATCGATGACTGGCGCCGCGAAGGAAGCAAAATGGCTCAAATATATTCTGGTGCTTACATTACACTCGCTGCTGCAGCATCTCGAGATTCATCAGGTGGCTGTTTCCGTCACAGCGCCGAACGTCCTCTCTTCCGCCTCCCATACCCGGACGAAAACGGGTCAAAGTTAGACCTCTGTGTCCGACCAAGAATAAAGAACACCAGCTGGGTCAACGGCAGAGCGCCCTTGTTACCTCGCGGATGGACATTGCAAGAACGACTGCTTTCTCCCCGGGTTCTGTATTTCGCGCACGAAGAGCTTGTCTGGGATTGCAAGACCAAGAATGACTGCGAATGCTCCATCCCACCCTGTCACGTCCCATACTCAAACGTGTGTAGTCTTTTCTGGCTGAACAACGAGCTGCAATTCAACAATGGTTACCCCTACAGACGTATCCCGTTAACATGGCACAAGATCGTGGAGCAATACACTCATCAACGCCTTACGTATGAAATGGATATCTTTCCTGCCTTGCAAGGCATAAGCAAGATGTTCTCCACGTATACCAAATCCCGCTATCTAGCTGGTTTGTGGGAAAACACACTGATGTTCGATCTGTTATGGGTAACTTATGGCGGACCCCACTGGCGGCCCCAAACATGGCGTGCGCCATCCTGGTCTTGGGCTTCTGTCGCAGATGAGGTATATTGGGACGGCCGGATCGACTACCGCCTTCTCCACGCCCGCGCAACGTGCACCGCTGCAAACATACAGCCAGTGGGCACCGACGACTTTGGAGAAATAGCATCCGCCAGTCTCACGCTGAGAGCCCGCTGTTTCTCCCGCGCAGCGCAAGAGCCATGGCTGCCTCTAACGTATCCACGTGGGGACATATTATCGCGTGTTGATTTAGCGTCTCCTCCTTGGGGGAAATGCGACAACCGTCGTTGGGCCACTGTTCATCTCGATTGTGTGATACCAGAATTTGACCCGACAAGGCCGCAGAGCAAAACGCTGGGACCAGAGACGTGTGTCAAGACGGTCGTTTTGGCACAGTATCCTTTCTCAGAAGAACGTGACATCACTACCTTTTATTGTCTGCTGCTACGCAAGACGGGGGAAGAGAAGCAGACTACGTACGAACGTTTTGGACATCTGGAGGTGTCGGGGAATCATGCCGATACATATAATCTTCCCTTGGATGAAGAGGAGACATTGTACATTGTTTGAGTGAACTGTACATTTAAGCAAGAGTTTTTTTTGTGAGCAGCAGAGAAAAAAAGAGATTGAACCCGTATTTCTGAGGCAGCGCGAATGAAAGATTATGGTATTATTTATCCAGGGTGTGTTTGGTAGAGAGACGAAAAAAAGAGACATGACAAGAAAAACATGCGTGGTATCAGGATGGTGAATAAACGCTAAACGCCCCTGTCCCGGAATTCCAAAAAAAACTTCCAAAGAATAACCTTGGGGATATCGTAACGGTCCTTTCTCCTTTCTCTCTCTTTCATTCGTACCCCCAAAACTGGTATCATGCGTTACTTCGCGCTTCAACGTAGCACTCCCAAACGTCCTCAACCCACACACCTTCCCCTCCCTTCAGCAACCCCTTTTATTTATACTGCGGCACGCCCTGAGGTACACCATGCGGTGGAGGCGGTCCCTGCCCACCCATCATAATCGGCGGTCCCCCCTGCCCCGGCCCTTGCTCCATCTGCTGCAGCACATCCGGGCGATACTTGATATCCTGCCAAAATCGGCAGGTGCGGCAGCCGACCTCCTTGTATGGTTTAAGTGAGAAGGGGATAACGGGAATAAAGCAGAACGTAAACCACTCCCAGCGCTTCATGACGGCCGTTTCAAAGTTGCCGCAGTTTTGGCATTGCACACGGACGCTCTCGGCGCCTTTGAGTGGGGAGGTGAAGGCTGTGAGGTCTGAGTTAGTTGAGTGAGATTGAGGGGCATTGCATGTGGTGATGATGCACGGGGGGAAGGGGGAGGTTTGCGTGGCAAGATGTATGGGAAGACGTACTGTGTGTTCCGCAGGTGAAGAAGAAGAACATTGTTGAGGGTTATGGGGCGCCGGGGTAGCGCTTCCTGGTTGTAGGTGATTTGGTCGCTTTCGCGCTGTTTATGAGACGGTGTGGTATTCCTCGTGGAGTCGAGTCGATTCAATTCGAAGTGATGCGATTCGCGCTTCAAACAGGTGGTTACGGTAAGCGCGTTGGTTTCTGTTTGATGGTAATTTCGTCACGCGTTGGATAAGTTGATAGTACTTCGGGACTGATGAAGAGTATGCGGCAGGTTATTTGGAGGGTAAAAGTGAAGTGTTGAGACGTCGGGTGATGTTGTAGCTCTGGTCAACGAATTCGTGGAGGTGTTGGCGCCGAGCTGGTCTGCGTCATCAATGGTTACTCAGCCACACTTGGCGGACATTTTCTCTACCGGTACTAGCGGCCGAGTTCGCCGCGCCACTGGGTATCTGGGGAAATGCAGGATGACCTGTACCGAATTTTTGTTGGATCACATTACTTGCACTTGTAATTTTGGTAGACCTCAGCCTATTCTATACGTAGATCACACATTACAAGACTTGGGCTTTGTTCTCAAACGTTCTTACATCCTGGTCATGCACAGTTAGGTCTGACAAAAGTTATCAATCACATGATCATGCTTCACACTTCACGCCATGATCAATACATTACAAGAAGAGCACAATCGTTTCATTATGATATCACTATCTTGACCTCCAAAGTCATCAAGATGCAAAGAAGGAGACTCGTCGCAGTCGTAGGATTGGGATGCGGTAATCTCATCGTGTCTAGGTGGTAGGACGCCATTGAATCGCGGAAAGCCCCCGAGTCCTGTTGAAAGACTATAGCCACATGCCGAGAAAAATATACAGTCTTCTAAGACGTACAGTGAAGACCGGTCGAGCACCACTCCAAGCTCCGGCTTGAAACGAGACGGCCTTCTTCACTCCGGGACCATGAGGCATTCTTTCGCAATGAGAGATGACATGGCTCGTGGATAGACGATGGACCCCACTCCGGGATGATGCATCTACTGTGTCTTGAAGAGCAAGATTGCGCAGTGACCGAGGTAGAAGTAGATGAAGTGCTTCGTCTCTGATGCAAGTCAGATGATACTGGTCATTACAAGGTCAAAAAGAATAATTACCGTGAGTAACGAAGCTTCCAAAGTTACGGCCTACGATGCAGTGCCATGTAGCACCCTTCCTGCTGTCAAACTACCTGGGCGTTAACAGACACTTATCACAGTCGTCAAGGGTCATGTCTCTCACCTCCTTCTTGATGTACTGAGCAATGTCCTGCGCACCAGATGTTAGTTTAAGACACTGTCGTGATCCCGGGTCGGTTGGGTAATGCGGCCCACCTTCTCGATAGTGAACTGCTCCATTGCCGATTGCGCTGCCCGGTGTCAGCTGTTCTGTCGGCCTCACGCAGTGTGGAGACAACTCACCGACTTCAATGGCCTCTTGCTGCATCTCTTCGCTCTGTCACACAAATGTTAGGAGAGCCCCAGAGAATAATTCCGGATGTTCCGTACCATGTCCGCCGACTTGATCTGGGCTGCCAATGATATCAGTTTGTGCTTTGGCAAAACTACCCGGCATAAACAAAAGGGGCCTTACCATCCTGCTTCTGGGTATCTGACTTTTCGCTTGCCATGGTGCTAGTTCAAGTTATTACACAAGTACTAGTTAAGGTATTGATCGTCCGGATAGAGGTGCGGTCTTATAATGGCGGAGAGTGAGGCTATGCTTAGGTTGCAGTTGCAAGGCGTGTGTTTAGTGTTTGAGTAGGCGCTCGCGCAGCCATAAGCCGTTGGCCCGAGCTCCCACATGCGCGCTAGTGCGCTAGCGCAAAACTGAGCATTAAGACTTTTTTTCTGGACGCGAACTTTTAACTAACATTCGTTGCATCCGCTTCCAGCACACCAAGCTTTGAGCAGGCCAAAGCGTACAAAGACTTCGGTAGCATGGAGTCTTCACGCATCTTCGTCCGCGGCCTACCTCCCAAGTTCACCGAAGATGATGTGCGCAAGCACTTTGCCAAATTTCCTGTCACAGACGTCAAGTTCTTTCCGCATCGACGGATAGGCTACATAGGCTACAAGACGCCAGAAGACGCTGCCAAGGCGGTCAAGTACTTCAACAAGACCTTCATCAAACTCACAAAGATCTATGTTGAGATTGCGCGCCCGGTAAGCACCTTCTTATCCTAACAGCGGTGACAAGCGGGGCTAATTAGCACAGATCGCCGATAAGGAACTACCAAAGTCGCGACGACAGCAGAAGCTGGAGAAGAGCACTGCTTCCAATGACGAGTACAAACCACCGCCGCGGCAAGAACACGAACTCAAGCGCAAACGAGACGAGGCTGAACAGGATCCCAAGCTCAAGGAGTTTCTCGAGGTCTATCAGCCGCCTTCAAAGACGAAGATTTGGGCAAATGGCGAGAGCCATGTAGATGAGGCAAATGCTGCTGAGGGCACCGCTGTTCCGGAGATTGCTGTGCTAGAAGAGGAGAGCGATGACGAATATCAAGTCATTTCGAAGAAGCCCAAGGTTGCAGTGGAACCTACAAACACGCCTGCTCCAGCGCAACCATCTTCTACTGAGGAGCCTGCAAAGGATCCTGTAGATGCAGTGGTAGCTACTGGTGAAGCTATGGAAGATGTACGGGAAGCGCCAACTGCTGAGCAGGGACCTGTTTCGGACATGGATTGGCTACGCTCAAGGACAAACAGAGTCCTGGAACTAGTCGAAGACGATGAAGTGCCTGCGGCAAACGTACCAATTTCCCAAGCGCCAGCACCACAGCCTCCTAGAGCTGCAGAAGACTCAGCCGAGGTAGTGGAGGCGCAGTCAGAACCCGCACAACCAACGGCGGAACACCCAGAGAGTGCTGCGCCTGACGAAGAAGACAAGATTCGTGAGACTGGTCGTCTGTACCTTCGAAATCTACATTACGAAGTGACAGAAGATGAGATCCGAAAGCAATTCTCCAAGCATGGAGCTCTTGAAGAAGTAAGCAGCTTTTTTTGCCACTCCGAACCCCATGCAATGATGATTATCGAGATAGGGACAACTGATGCTTCGGCATTTGAGGTGATCTCTCGAAAGCATTTTAGTAGATGTACTTTCTTTCTGATAGCAGGGAAACTTCTTCATCCATTCTTCAGACTATACCGAAGTATCTTTGCTGATCATTGCAGGTGCATGTGCCCTTGAAGAAGGCTGATGGCAAAGGCAAAGGCTTCGCATTCGTTCAATTTCAAAACCCGAACGATGCAGTCGAAGCATACCTTGACAATGATAACACCATCTTCCAGGGCCGTCTTCTCCATATCATTTCTGCCAAAGCAAAGAAGGATACCAAGCTGGATGAATACGAGATATCCAAGCTGCCTTTGAAGAAGCAGAAAGAGATTAGGAGAAAACAGAGTGCTGCCAAGGCAGTCTTCAACTGGAACTCGCTCTACATGAATGTCAGTTCACTCCGTCGTGTCTATAGGAAATATGCTCACATACCTCTAGGCTGATGCGGTCATGTCTACTGTTGCGGATCGCATGGGTATTAGTAAAGCCGAGCTGCTTGACCCTACATCGTCAGATGCAGCGGTTAAGCAGGCACACGCCGAGACACATATCATCCAGGAGACGAAGTCATACTTTGCACAACACGGAGTTGACCTTGAAGCCTTTCAGAGGAGCGCAAAGGGTGATCTTGCTATCCTCGTTAAGAACATTCCCCACGGTGTGACAGCTGATGAGCTCCGCAAGCTGTTCGAGGAGCATGGCACTGTGAATAAGTTCTTGATGCCACCAACAGGTATGACGGCAATTGTCGAATTCGCCAACGTTGCGCAAGCGAAATCTGCGTTCATGTCCTTGTCATACCGAAAGATGAAAGACTCGATTCTCTACCTCGAGAAGGCACCAAAGGATTTGTTCAAGGAAGGTGTAGCAACGAACTTTGTGCAAACCACCCTAGCAGCCTCAGTATCAACTTCAACGCAGCCTGGTACGAAGCTCAGCGCCGCCGATTTGCTGGTGGACGTTCCAGAACCGGAAGCAACCAACACCGCTACCCTGTATGTGCGAAACCTCAACTTTTCTACATCAACGGAGCGCCTCACCGAGGCATTCAAACCTCTGTCTGGCTTCCGTAGCGCCAAGGTCAAAACCAAGGTCGATCCTAAGCGAGGTGTGCTATCGATGGGTTTTGGTTTTGTTGAGTTCAATAGCCCTGAAACTGCGACAGCGGCTCTGCGGGCGATGGATGGATACGATTTGGAAGGACACAAGCTACAGATCAAGGCTTCCCACCGTGGCGCGGATGCTGCTGAAGAGCGTCGTAATGAAGATGCAGCAAAGAAGGCGGCTAGCACGAAGATCATTATTAAGAACTTGCCCTTTGAAGCGAGCGTACGATTTCTAGCTCTCTTATTCCCCAAGCGTATGCTAACATGAACTGCAGAAAAAGGAAGTTCGTGCTCTGTTTGCTCCTTACGGCCAGCTTCGGTCTGTAAGGGTGCCCAAGAAGTTCGATGCGTCATCACGTGGTTTCGGTTTCGCAGAGTTTACTACGAAACGCGATGCCGTTAACGCCATGAATGCCTTGAAGAACACTCACTTGTTGGGTCGTCGTTTGGTTCTTGCATTTGCTGAGGCCGAATCTGATGACCCTGAAAAGGAACTCGAGAAGATGCAGCAGAAGGTTGGAGCACAGGCTAACAAGGTCGCGCTCCAACGCCTTACAGAAGGCGGTCGCAAGAAGTTTAACGTTGCAGGCACCGATGATCTAGACGATTGAGTACAAACATGTCCGGTAGGAATTACGTGCGCAACACATGCCGGCCTGAAGGTCATCCCTCGCTTCCCGGTTGCGGAAGTTGGGACGCCCTTGGCCGCAGCATACTTAAAGTAGTATCGTACTATGACCACACTGCGCATGAACGCTATATCTGGACTGTCGGGTTCTAAGCCTCCATAGGATATACGCCCAGCAGTGCGTACCAAGGGGCGCAGTCAGTCCAGCGCGTTTCATACCGCTTCCAGAGTACGGAAGCCACAAACGGGACGTTTGCCGATCATGCAGATCTGACGTAGTTTGATGTTCATGAAAACTGACATCTATACCACTGTGCTGAGCGATTTCTGATGGCTCTCACTAATATCCAGCCATTGAAGGCCGATAAGCCAACAGTCGGCTCGTCACAACTGTCCCTGCTAACCACGCATTGTACAAGATTACAGCACACAAGAGCGTTGCCACGGTTATCTTCACTTGAATCATCAGTAAGACCCGCGACGATTTGGTAGTCTTTCTTACAACCTAAAGTGCACTGCCTTGATTTTTCGGCAGAGTCTACTTTACTTCTTTGACTGAACACTACTATTCTGGGCCTAGCGAATTTCGCATCGCACCTGACAATCGGTGCTATATCTCCAAGGCTGTCACATAATCCTCCAACCTGAGCTAGGTTATCTGAGCTGGCCGTTATTATATAATTGCAGGTTCCCTAAATGGTCGAATTAGGTTTCTTTCATTCCGCCAAATAATTTCTAAATTTAAAGGCTGCTTCTCCATGAATGCCTACATCTATGTCTTTGACGTGCTTTTGGTGTATAAACGTAGCAGCTCAACTGTGTCTCTACGTCCATATCGTTCCGCCATCATCAGCGCCGTTGATCCCTTCTTGTCTTTAGCGTCAACGTCGGCCTTGCCAACGCTAAGCAGCAGCTCAGCTATGTCTCTATGTCCATTTACTGCCGCCACCATCAGCGCCGTTAATCCAGTGTTGCTTTTCGCCTCAACATTAGCCTTGCCAACGGTAAGCAACAGCTCAACTACGTTTCTGCGTCCATTTGCTACCGCCTGTATCACCGCCGTGTATCCTTCGTAATCTTTCGTCTCAACGTCAACCTTGCCAACGGTAAACAGCAACTCAACTGTGTCTCTATGTCCATATGCTATCGCGATCATCATCGCCGTCGTTACCTTATTTTCCGTATTTTTCGCGTCAATGATAGCTTTGCCAACGGTAAGTAGCACCTCAACCGTGTCTCTATGTCCACCTCTTGCTGCCTCCATCAGCGGCGTCCATCCGCCGTTGTCTCTCGCCTCAACGTTAGCCTTGCCAACGCTCAGTAGCACCTCAACTGTGTCTCTATGTCCGCCTTTTGCCGCCTGCATCAGCGGCGTCCATCCGTCGCTGTTTTTTGCCTCAATGTCGGCTTTCCCAGCCTGTAGTAACACCGCAAGAACGTTCCTGTTCCCATTCTCGGCAGCCCATTGGAAACGCATCCAGTAGTCCTTGTCCGCCTTGTTAAGCTCAGACGCACGACTGTAGATCAGCTTAGAACAAAGCCTGAAAATGGCGGTTTCATGTCCAGACACATAAAATATATGGTTCTGCCAATAGGTCTTTGCATAAGCATAGAATCTAGGTACGTGCTCTGACTTAGAGTTGAAGGAGCTGTACGCTTCCGCGAGAGCTTTACTCATATCAAATTCGTGTTGCCGTCTTGATCCGAGCAACTTTATAGCCAGATGACGAGCGGTGCTTGACGAGCTGATAGTGGCTTGCACAATCTTAGATGGTGCGGACTGTGCTACTATAGGATGGACCTTGATTCTTGATAGCTCAGTCCCGAAGACATTATAGCCGAGGTACGTGACAACTGTATCTGCCAACATCCTTTGCGCCTCCTGAAACGAAAAGTTGCTATTAAGGATATACTGCTTGACGCTATGATGTATAACTCGAACGGTAAGCTCCTCTTCGTCAACAGAAAGTAGGCATCCACAGCAAGCCAGTGCTGAGTAGACATCATTCAAGATTTTGGAATGATCCCAAGTTGTATCTCCAGGAGTAACGCTTAGGGCTTCCCGCAACTCTTCTGTTGTTAATGGCTGGTAAGCTGCAAGCACAAACTGTAGTGTCTTCGTTTGGAGTGCTAGATCTGAGTTTCCTGAGTTTCCTGACTTTACTGACTTCCGTAGAATCCTAGCAAATGTCTCGGAGAGGTCTTTGGGCAGGTCTGCTAGTGCTTCTCGGATAGCGTGATCAGTCTTCATACCGCACAAAGTCTGGATTTGAAGCGCCACCCAGAGGAACATTCCTTGTGAGCCTTTTGATAATGTGTCTTGAATCTCGACGATTAGAGTTGGATCTCCAATTGTTAGGCGTTTTTGGCGAAGGCAACGTTCAAGGTCTGCTTCGATAAAGGCGTCGATGTCTGGGTTGTCGTCTGGTATGGAGACAGCGCGAGTGGCCAAGAGCTGATTACTAGTAGTAATCGACTGTAGGCCATTGCTTGGCTCTTCTCGAAAAGAAGCACAGACTAGCATCTTTAGCTTCACCTGGATCCTCCGGATTGCCTGCACTAACGTCTCTTTCTCTTCATCATCACATTCATCTAGGCCATCAAGCACAAAATATACCTTTGCATCAGCGGAAAAGCCTCGAAGAAGCATTCCAAGCACCGTCTCAGTATCGCCTATAGTGTGGGCTTTTTCGCAACTCTTAGCAAGTACGCCAAGATCTGGAACAGTACGTAGAAGCTGTTGTGCCAGTGAACCGATGATCGTCCGCGCCCGCAGACTTTCTGGAATGTCATGTTTGCAAAAGAAGTATGCCACCAAGGGTGGGTCTTTAGCGGAGAGGCTAAGGTCGTCCACGATATTGGCCAGCAATACCGACTTTCCCGAGCCCAGTTTACCCACATACAACAGCGTGCTAGAATACGAGCTATCCCTCCACTCTTGGTACTCTGCTTGCTGCTTATAGAAGGACATATTACCGGCCTTTCGAATTTGCTTCCACGTTACTTGATAATCGTACGTAGAGCAAAACTTGAGTACCCGCGCGTTAGCTGCAAGTCTCTGTTGATATGAGGTAGACTTAAACATTTGCCTCGTTAAAGCCCTAAGATCAGAGCTCTCTTGAGCTTCACTTACGTCCATCTGCTCCTTGATAGAAGTTGCCCACTTATGAAGATCTGTCTGGAAGGTCTTTAAGCGCGCATCGCTTAGCGAGGAGGCAAATTGCTGGATAGTCGATTTCTGACCGAACTTGAACAGGTAATGACATAGGCCAACTACCACGATAAAGTACTCAGAGAGGTTTGATTGTAGCTCCAAAGACCGAGGGTATAGCAGGGCAATCGCTTGGTAGCGCGGGGCAGAACGGCCGACATCCATGAATAGCGAGGACAGCTTATCGATGTAGTTCGAAAGATTCACAATCGACTTCGGTGTATCAGCAACTAATCACGACAACGATGCAAGAAGAGGACACTAACCAATAACGACATGCGTACCAATGACCATACGCCACACGCTACCAAGTTCTGTGATCCTCCAATTATGATATCTCCAAGAGTCGCGAACTGTTGAACTCCGTGAAGGAAGGAAGTAAAACGAGGCCCAAAACATGCATTACTAAACTTCTGTGATGTGCGACGATCGACCTCAGCCGTCAGCTGCATAATGTCATGTGGACTAGGTGGTTTTAAGAGCGACTGCGATCTTTGAGTTCTGAACATCGACTTTTGCTCATGTGAGAGGTCGGCTTCAAACTCTGAGATAGCCTGGACAAGGCGTATCTCCGGCTTTAAGGGCGAGGCTTTCGCCAGGGCACTGGACATAACTACTACTAAACAGCTGCAGTGCAGCAAACTGTAGCGTAATCTTAAATCGGCGTTCTCCTTCCGTTTTCTAAATAAGAGTCGTCTTGTATGTAGGGAAAGAGGTTGGTTGGATGGTCCTCGAAACTGCTCTACGTGCACCAGGGTTGCTGGAGACCAGGTTCAAAACAGCGCCTGAGTAGCTAGTATCTGAGGGTTTAGACTGTGGCAGAAGCGAAAAGTAATGCGTAACAAAGTGGGAATAAGAAGGGTAGAATGCCCACGATCAGGCTGAAAGATAATTAAAGTGTTTCGCACCAAGCTGAACGTGGCTGCGCATCTTAGCCGCCGACCCCCTGGTGCGGCGCGTTCGTGTAATCCTGCTAAGGTCAGGTCTGAACACCAAAGATCTGGTCACACTACAACGTGTGACAAGTGGTAGGTATGTAGGCTCGATAGTCATGACACGACCTGAAACACTGAAGTGTGTTGACGGTGGATACCTTTGGATGTCGTAGAAGGCCCATCTGCGTTGAATCATCTTGAGCTGCCGCTTGCCCGTCCCTGGGCTTACGCCATACGTTCATCACATGTTCGTCGCCACAACGAGAGTATCTTTTCACTGCTATACGTTCTGTAGTCAAAACGTTGCGCATCCATAACAAGAGAAGCAACAATCCGTTCCGTCGGAGGGTAGACGGGGTGTAAGCCTAGGGCACATTGCATGGTCACGTGAAGCATCTAGCGACCAATCAGCCCACTACTCTGTATATACAAGCTTAGATTACAGGCCTCTTGGTCATCAGATCAATACACTTAATAGTAGCTTTAGATACACTAACGAATATCTTGAAGTCTTTAAGATAGCAATTGTCGGTATGACAAAAGGAAAGACAGAGGTAGGTCGTAGTTATAGTACACCACGCTGTACATAGCTTCTCTACAAATTTGACCAAGCCTGCTATAACTTTGCCTTCTATCATTAAGACTGAGCTTTGCTGCCTGATCGTTACAATAATAGACCAGATTGAACTTGATGAAATAGTAGGCCGCTGATTGGTATTGCTTGAATATTTTCATGGTTCTGCGCAATGGGATGTTCTACCCGGGGGAAGGAGGTTAGACCTTGCCATTGGTACAAACTCGCATACACTGTGACCTTCGCATGAGGCTCAGTGTGCCCATAGGAACTTCTCTGTGGCAATTTCCCCCAGTGGTCTTGCATCAATTCCACTCAACCTGGACTAAATGAACACCTCGATACCCATCAACGGGAGCGATTACTCTGAAGGATGCCTAAGATTTTCACTTATAGAAGGCACCATGCCTAGCGTATATGACAACGGTCTTGAGATCGGTTGTGGTAGCATCCCTGACAGCAGCCCTTCACAGCCTGCCTTTAGCAGCCCCGCATATAAAGAGATTAGCGACAGAAACGTGAATCTAGAAGATTTGCAAGAGCTTATCAACTTGGGACAACAAGAATGGGCAGGACTGAGAGTTGTTATGACCGAAGAAGACCCTCCCGTTCCCATGATCGTAGCCACCAACATTCACAACACTAGCCCTGTAGCTTGCTACTCCACAAAGCCGAACTGGCAGCATACGAACTTGGTCTCTTATCTAAAGAAAGCATCGGAGTAGTATCAAACTTGTCCGGTTAGCGAAAAACAAGACCGAATCTCTCAAGTACACGAAATGCTTGTTGAAGATGATTTTCATGTACAGGGTTCTTGATTCAAAGGCCCGACCGAGCATGGCTTTATGATATACAAACAGATGGCAATCAGCTCATGTGGGCCTCTCGAGGAGTGCATCAATCATTCCAGAATATTCTATCTTTTAGTAGGGATATGGGCAGATGAACTTATGGGTAGGGAAGACTAGAGGGACTTGAGATCATGCACTCAGTTGGTAATGCAGATAAGGATAGGGAATATTGATAATGCAGGATGAGAATTGCAATTGCTGCTGAGCAAGCAGGTTTTTGATTGATATCCACATAATATTCGTCAATACAGGCCATTTCCGGGTCTAAGGCTTGTGATTCGGTAATTATCGAAGTGATTAAGTAGTGATTTCCCACAACCTACAAGATGAATAACATATGGTAAATGACAAGCCAAGGGCATACTATCACACTCTCATATTGTTGCATAAACTGTACAAACTATCAAGGCTCAAAATATCGCCTAGAATCCACCTAACTATATCTGAATAAGGGCGAGTGAGTGTGACTAAATGAGGAGTGAAACTGGGTGAAGCTGGAGACAAGCAACGCTCACTGCAAGACGGACGGACGGGCTGAGCGGTCTGCCTATCAATCCTCGCCTCGGAGCCTTCAAATCCTTCAACAGCAATCAAACCAATCCTGTCTTGTATTGTGCTAATCAATCACCTGAGTCGATACATTTACAGCAAAGAGTGCATGCAACGGCGCGTCGCATCCTACAAATACGCCATCACGCAATCACAAGGTCACAAGCTGCCCCGCTAAGCCGCTTGAGACATTTCCCCACCTCAACCAATGTCCGGGACAGCAAACGGTTACGCGCTCGATTCCATTGCCATGGGCTCGGCGGGAGATGACCTCAGAAAGTATTTAATTATACCGTCTGCATCACTTGACACTTCACATTCATTATCCTCAAATTCAGAACTACCTTATACTACGACCAAACCACGCTCGTCTATCTCTAGTTTCGACACAATCGTGGAATACGATAGTATAACGACTCGCGGTAGTACCGGCAAGGCTGAAGAATCCAACATGGAGATTGACACGCCCACACAACTGTCCATGTTCAATTCTGCGCATACTGAGCAGGAGCCGATGGCTCGTGCAGCTCCGCCGTCGGGTATCCTAAGTATGGACGACTTTATGAAGCAGAACCAGGATGAGCACCAAGCACAACGTGAGGCGAGGTATGCTACTACTGTTCCTCCAGCAAAGAAGGCAAAGTCGAGTGAGAATGCGACGCCGCTTACCCCAGTTGCGGTTGGTGCCCGGTCATCCAAGCATACGATACTCTTGCATGAAAAGTATCAAGCTCTTGGTATCCAGCAACCGCTGTTCACTTATGAGGGGAGCAGCAACTCAAGCTGGGCTGCCAGAGTTAGCTTTCCTGGTCTTGAAGATGTCGAGGAACTGCAAGGACTGAGTGGGGATAAGGGATTCAACAGCAAGCAGGAGGCCAAGGAAGCATTGAGTGAGAAGGCGTTTGCAGTGCTGGAAGAGATGGAGAGGCAAGGTAGAGTCAAGAAGGCTGGGAAAACCCGGAAGAAGAGTGTAGGAGGGCAGCTAGAGGAGCAGCCAGTGGAAAACTATGTTGGCAAGCTACTTGGTAGGTATACCTTATTCGTCTGTTCGATATATCACATGTCCTTCAGAAATATGATATCAAGAAAAAGCCCAGTACAAACTAACCACCCCAACCAGAATACCAACGCTCAATCTCTGGCCCCCAGCCAACCTACACCGACTACCAATCCGGCACCCAGTTTGCCTGCCTCCTAACCTTCGAAGGCCACCCCAAACCCTTCGGCACCCTCACTTCCCTCTTCTCCTCAAAGAAAGCAGCGCGTCAAGACGCCGCCCGCCACGCCGTCGAGCACTTCAAAGCCCTGGGCACCTGGCCCCAAGACACGCCCATCGGCGGCATCAAGAAGAAGAAAGCCTCGAAAGCCTCCCCACCATCTCCATCTCCTCCTCCTCCTTCTTCTTCTTCTTTCTCCTCTTCCCTCCTCTCACCCATCCAACCCCCAACTCCCAGTCAAAGTACCAGTGCCAGTACTGTGGGTACCAGCTTCGCCCAACGCGTCGCCACCCTCGCCGCAACCCTCGCCCTCCCCACCCCAGAATGGAAATACGTCTCGCACCCCTCCGACCCCGCCTTTCACTCTGTCGCTTGTTTCTTCCGCGACGCAGGTCCGCACGAGGGCCCCATCGGCGAGGTGCGGAATGTGTTTGGCAAGAAGAAGGCCAAGGAGGAGTGTGCGCGGTTGACGCTCGAGTATCTGCTTGATGTTAGGGACAAGAGGCGGGCGTATGGGGCGAGGATGATGGCGGGGGTTGTAGGGGGAGAAGGCGTGGTTGGTGGGGTTGAGGGACGGAGGGTGGAGAGTGGCGGGGAGGGGAGTGAGGATGAGTTTGTTGATGCGGAGGAAGGGGGGTTGATTTGAGGTTGGTGCATGACATACACTTTTAATGGACTTGAATAGCTTAGGATTGAAACAACGAGTTAATCTTCTATGGGTTAGAGACTCATAAAATCAAACGTTTGGTGGACAATTCTAGTTTTGGTGTAAAGGGGGGGGGGGGGGTATAAATCTCATAACACTAATACTTAGACTCAACCCCAGGTAACAAAGGTCAATACACACACACATATCCCGCCATCTCACTCGACATATCCCTGCCAAAAAGAACAAGTCAAGAACATAGTATCCAACGATGCGGAGAAGAACGGTAAAAAAAAAGAAGAAAAGAACCATCCAGCCGAAACGCTCATCTAAGAAACCAAAGTCATTTTTGGAAGTAGTAGGTGTCTCTTTTCTTTCTCTCTCTCCCTGGAGAAAAAAAAATCCCTATTCATACCACCCATTGATAAAATACTCCACAGCACCCCAAGTCCGCCCGTTTTTGCCAAGATAGAAAAAAAAGACACTTTTTTTAATGCCATGATGATCCCCTAAAAAAGACGACAACAACGACAAGAAACAAGTACTTAGGAAGAGTCGGCTTTTCTCTTAGAGCGATCGCGCTTCTTTTCCTTGCCGGCCTTTTCAGCCTTCTCGGCCTTTTCAGCTTTTTCCAGGGCGGCATTCTCCTTGTCGCCGTCAGCCTCGGTGTTACGGGTGCTGCGGCTGGACTTTGTCTTCTTCTTGGTGGTGACTGTTTCCTCGGGGACAGGCTCGTCTTCGTGAGGAGAGGCGGGGGCTGGGGCAATAGGCTGGGGCGCGGCCTTTTCCTTCTTCTTCTTGGTGTCCTTCTTCACGGGTGTTTCGGCAGCTGCGGCAGTGGTAGGAGCTGGGACTGGGGCTTGTGATGAGCGTGCGTTGGGGAGGGGCACAGGAGTCGAATTTGTGGCAGCGGGGGCAATGGAGATAGGAGCAGAGTTGCCATTGACGGCGGGAGTCGTCTTCTGGCGCTTGCGTGGGGTCTTTGCGGGTGGAGAGGGAGCTTTGGCGGGTGCCTCTTCCTCGTCCTCTGAAGAGGCATCAGAGTCAGCAGCACCAACCTCAGCTTCAATGTCGGCGTCGTCGGAGCCTTCGTCTTCCTCGACCAATTCAGTGGCCTTGATGCCCTTGTTGGCAATGTACTCGGCCAGTTCGGCCTTGTACTCCTCCATTGAGTTGCGGTAGGACGCCTTCCATTGCTGCAGAATGATTAGCACAGGATGAAAAATTGTGTTGCGCCGAGAAAACATACCTCCTTTTCCTCTTCGGGAAGTTCGTTCCAGCGCTTGTTTACCTCGAGCTGAACAGCATTCTTCTCAATCTGACCGCCCGGAGGAAGGGCAGCCTCGAGATCGGCCTTGACAATGGGACGGGCATGCTGGTGGTAGAGGAAAGCAGCCGTGAGGGGCTTCTTGGGGGCATTGGGGTCCTTTTCCTTCTTTTCGCGCTTGCGCTTCTTGCCCTTGCTGGCCTCGGCGGACTTATCGACGGGAGCAAGGACCTGCTTTGTCTCGTCAACGGCGTTCCTCCCGGCTTCCATGACAGAGGCAGCAACGGCAGCTACATCATTGAAAGGGGGGATCTCGCCCTCCTCGCCGCCGAGGACAGAAGCGCAATGCTTGCGATAGTTTGTCAAGAGGTCGGTAATACCGTGCTGGACGTGGATAAGACCGGCCTGTAGGTTGTGGAGCGAGGCAATGACCTGGTCATGATGGTAAGCTTTTGAACTATGGTTGGCCACGGCCATTTTGTCTGCGCTCCGTGATTTGGGTGGTGTGGAGTGGGCTGGCCGAGTCGCGACAGGTTGCGACAAGGGTGGAGGTTTTGGCAGAAGCGCAGGGAGGGAGGTTGGCAGAGCGGGCATTTCTGGGTCGCGTGGACGAGGCGACTGGAATGATGGCAGTGGGCAGGAAGAGAGAAGGGTGGGTGGCGCGGTGGTGGGCGTTGGCCGTGGGGGATGGGTGGTGTCATTGGCGACCCGGCGACTGAGGCAGGCGCGTCGCGGGTTGAGAAAAACAAGAGTTGAAGGGCATGGAACGTACCGAGTCGCGCGTCTTTTTGTACTCTGCCGTGGAAATCATGAGGTCGCCCGTGGCTTCCTTCTTCTTTGTGGGGGGCGCCATGGTGTGGGTGAAAGGGCGGGTTGGAAGGGCGGGTTGGGAGGGGATGGGGATGATGGGGTGGTGGTTGAGAGGGGGGAAGGGCTGCAGAGCTGCGAGGGCAGATGGGGAGGGACGGGACGGGGGCGAGGGCGAGGGCGGGCAGTGGGGAGGGATGGGCTTAAGTGACAGGCGGCCCTCGCTAACCCGTGGCCTGCATTCAGCGCTGTCGGCCGCCCATCCGCCGCCCCAAACACCAACTCGCCCTGCTAACTTTGTTCCTTTTCGCCCGTAACTTGCGCGACGCGTGCCCGTCTGTTATCTATCTCGTATATCCTGCGCATTCATTGTCACCACGCCGCTGCA